CTGTGTTATTCTAGAAAGGGTTCTAGTTCATTTTTCTGGTCATATCTTCTGTTCTCTACTTAGCTCTAAAGCACTATTGAAACCTGACTTTAAAATTAACATGCTAGTGCATCTAATGCAAAAACAACTCGTTACCTCTCTTGAGGAGTAAAACTGAGTTTGCAAAACCATGAATCAAACAAAATACTGGTTCTCTAACCCACAATAGTGTCCACAGTTACTCCCACCTTCTGGTTTCAGTTGCAAGTGACTAAAACCAGACTGATTTTTTCTTTCTTTTCATAAGAAACTTGGGGAAAACAAATCATTATCCTGTTATAGATCTCACACTTTGGTATATGGACAATCTAATGTAGAATTTGTGAATAATAAGACTCTTAACTATGTTTCCTTAGAAAAATCCTGGGATAGTATTTAATAATGAAATGCAACACTATTGCTTATTCTGAGTAAATAGCCTTTTTTTTTTTTGACTCAGTGGAACAAGAGGAAGTTCTGAGTACAGAGCAGGTGTGTAATAAAAATGGCTGATTGATTGAGTACAGTGTCAAGCAATGTGCTCCTTTTTGCATATCCTTTCATTTTATTGTTATAATGGAATTGTGACATAGATATCACTGTTTCTATAAGAGGAGGAACAAAACAGAGAAAGCGATGCAGCTAACAGGTATGTAAGGCCCAACTCAAGGCTAGGGCTGTCTGATGGCAAAGTTCATGCTTTTAACCATGATGCAACTTACATTGATAAATTATGAATGAAAGAATGAATAAAGATTATAAGTAGGAAGAAAAAGGAGTTATATGCAAGTCACAGTACCATTGACTACTGTTGGTGTAAATAATAGAGAGACTGAGTTAGCTCATATAAAGAGAATGCTACAATGGAGGGTGCCTGCATTGTTGCTCTGTGGGCTGTGTGCTGGCCAACCTCTTCACATCAGAGCTGCTACAGCTCTGAAGAGCTCCTCGTATCACAACATTCCAAGAAGGAAGAAGAGAGGAAGGCAAAAGGCCTTGCATGCCATAGGAACTTCCCCTTTTATCAGGGTGGGAAATCTTTTCTAGGATCCCTTAGCAGTTCTTTTTCATTTCGTTGAATCACACAGATGCGCACTCCTACACCAAATAGGGGCAAAGGGAGAACGTAATTGTTGTGGCTGACTCTGATCAGTTCAGCCCTAGGTATCCACTAGAATCACCTGAGAGATTTATGAAATACCTGTGCCCCACCTTTAGATGGGGCACAGATATCAGTATCTGTAAACATTTTCCCAGTGGTTTTAATCTGAAGCCTGTTGAGAGCCAATGGGTTATGCCAATCTTGATAATGTGCCTTAGTCCAGGCATACTCCTATCATATGAAAAGTCAAGTTTTATTAACCAGAAGGGTTTGGTAGACTCTATGGCTCCCAAGGTCTAGCAGAGGAGCTTACAAAAGTAGATCTAGAAACTTTCCTCCCACAGAGAACATACCTGAATTCTATGGGGAACATTATTTACTTAGGTCCCTCCATAAACTTAGTTCAATTCACAGTGTTTGTAAACTTATGCTACTGTCTGTGAAAGGCCCTGGATTGGCTGTAGGAACTGGGAGCAGAGCACAATTTTTCTTTCCCTTGTGGGCCAATTCCTTTTAAGCATTCCTTGGATCAAGGCTGAGGAAGATATTGCACACCTGGGATTCCAGCAACTCAGGAGACCGAGGCAGGAGGATCACAAATCAGAGGCCAGCTTTGGAAACAAAAAAGGGGGTGGGGAGGGGATGTAGTTCAGTGGTAGAGCACTCCTGAGTTAAATCCTAAGTATCACACGCAGAAATAGAAAAAGAATCCCTACACTCAGCACCTACGGGAGTAAGTGCTAAACGTAGTCACAAGCACTTAGAGAAAGGCAGACTATTGGGCAGGCACTGGACTCAAGCAATGGGCAGAGGAGGCTGAGCCTCCAGCATCTGGACCTTCAGTGGAAAATAACACTGAAGGCAAAGTCCAGAAATATGAGTTAAACTTTCCTCCTGCTGTGAACTATTAGCCTTCACTTTTCCCTTTTTAACTTAATATTAAGTACTCATATTTGCTAGACAGACACTGGCACACAGAATAGTCTTGATTCTCCTCACAGAGCCTGTGGTCTAAGTTAGAGGAAACAAGATACTAATGAAGTAAAACAGACAAATCGATTATGGTAAGTGCCATGAAGGGAAATAATAGGCTCTTATGAGAGAATTATAGGGCAATGTGTAATTTAAAGGCAGCCAGGAAAAGCTAACTGTTTAAAATTAAATGGAGGCAGGTATAAAATTCAGATTAGGGGCTGGGGTTGTAGCTCAGAAGTTGAGCACTTGTCTCATATGTGTGAGGTACTGGGTTCAATCATATTAAACCGTATTAAAAAATAAATAAATAAAAGATATTATGGAGTCAAAAAAAAAATTCAGATTAGAACATTGCCCTTCAGTTTCCTGATTTCTTTTTCACTACTCTGTGCTCTAGACAATTAGGGAAAATGTTTAACTTCCAGAAAGACCCATCTTTTTTTTAAAAAAATATATATTTTTAGTTATCAATGGACCTTTATTCATTTATTTATATGTGGTGCTGAGAATCTAACCCAGTGCCTCATGAATGCTAGGCAAGTGCTCTACCACTAAGCCACGACTCCAATCCAAGGAAGACCCATCTTGCATAAGATTCAGATGGACAAGTGAAATCTACTGAGATGCTGGTCTCTGAGAATCTGCTTTCTCAAGATGGTAGAGAAGCAATATGCTTATGGATTGTTGTTACTTTATATCTAGCTTGTTACTCTCTTGGTTGCCTCTTAGTACCTCCTTTCTCTTTTCATATATTCCTCTCATGTTCGATCTGCCCAGTTGCCTTTTGACCCCTCCTTCCACCCTCTCTTGAAATTAGGAAATGTACTCAGAAGTATATTCACTCAGGAATTTGGATAAGTGAGCATTATATCACAGTAATGCCAAAAATAACATCCTGAAACACTGTTCAAACTGCAAGCATAAATGTCAGCCATCTCCCAAGACAGAAACAACAGATAATCCCGACTTGTTTAGAGTTGTGAACAAGGTACCTTTACATCTTCAAGCTTTGGGACTCAAACTGTGGGCCACAGACTAACAGCATTGAAATTTTGGGGGAGTTTGTTAGAAATGCAGAATCTTGGGCCTCAAAGAACCTACTGAACTAGAATCTGTATTTCATCCAGGTCCCCAGTTGTCTCACAAGTACATTAAAGTTCGAGAAGCACCGGCTTCTCAAAGGAGGATCCCCAAGGAGAGAGTGAACAGAAGTGAACTTCTTCAATAGCACTGATATTCCATATATATTACATATCTTAATTTCCTGTGTATTTTATTTTCTCAGTACTTTTTTGTTTACTAATATTCTCTCAGGATTTTTATTAGTTTGTTTAAAAGTTACATGTCTTTTCTAGAAAATAATGATATAGATCTTTAAGGTCTAGAAAACTGTTGCTGAGGGGAGCAAGGCACTCCTTTTTCTTTAAGGAAAAGCTAAGTCACCTGGGTTAAAAGTTAGCTTTGTCTGCTACTAGCATTTGGTCCTTTGATGTGATATATGCTTATATATGTATTATTCCTGCTGTTAGGAGAGAAAGGCAAAAGTCCAGCACTCTGAGAACGAGTTTGGTGTGTAGACTATTAGTTTTGTTCACTGACCTTGATCAAATTACCAGATCTTCCTTGGTTTCAGATTGTCATCCATAAATATCCAAGTTTAATATTATATACCAGGTAAAGATGTATGCACATACACACATATGTGATTTTAAAAAATTAAATGCTGAACTGGTATAAGACAGTATATATGTAAGGTATAAAGTATCAGGATACAATGAAATCTATAAAGGTAGTAGAAGAACCTATATAGAAGTAGAAGAACCTTATCATGCTCCTTTTTAATCCTCTATGTTCCTGTTAGATACCATTCACTTTCTTGTTCCTCCAGTCACTTCACAATTTGCAATCACTTCCTTTTCTTTAGTTTTACATTTGCAATTCTAAATCATGTATTGTTTACTTTTGCAGGTCTTTGAGCTTTTGTATTAAGAGTCATACTGAATGTAATTTGCTTTTCTCTCCTGACATTATTTTCCTAGTATTTATCTACTTCTTTATCTCTGAACCAATACAATGCTACTTTAGCTATGATTCTTGATAAGGAAACTCCTGCCTGTCAAGCAGTGTCTTGGCTATTAGCCTTTTTTGTTCCTCCACATGTATTTTAGAATCAGCTTGTCAAGTCTTACCAAAACAAAACCAAATCAACAGTTGTGATTTTGACTAGAATTGCACTAAATCATTAAATTTGGGAATAACGGTCATTTCTACCTTATTCTTATCTGGAAACATGGCAATTTTATAATTTTCTCCATAAAGGTCTTATGCCTCTTGAATTATTCACCTCAGGCTTCGAAGTACATACTGTTGAATGTGTACCTTAAAGAATTTAGTCTCTTAGTTTTGGAGGCTGGAATTCTGGCAGCACAACTGGGTCCTGGTGAGATCCCTCTTCCTGGCTTGTAAGAGATGCCTTCTCCCTGTGTCCCCTCATGGAAGGGAGAAATCTGGAGTTTTTCCTTTAAGGGTACCAGTTTTATAGTCAGGTCTCCCCCTTATGACCTCATTTAATTTGGCCTCCTTAAAAATTGTATCTCCAATGTAGTCTCATGGGGGACCAGGGATTCAGCATAATGAATTTTGGAGGGACACAATTCACTCCATAACACATCTTTTGTTAGATTTAGTCTTAAATTCTAATTATCCTTGGTGCTATTTTATGAGGTGGTATTTTTTATTATTGTCTTGTTAACCTTCTTATTACACTTTTGAAGTGTTTTGTGGTGTGTGTATGTATACACACACACACTTGCAAGTAATTTTTATATACTGATTTTGCAAGAATTTGCTTTTACATAAAAGACAGCATATACAACCACTAAGAATAATGTCACCAATTGTTAACTCTGTTGAAAATCTCTTTATTTCAGATTTATTACTACCGAAGAGTTACATAATCCTTAAAACTTCAGTGTGCAACAGACCATCATATAAGCTCTGTTATTTACTCCATTATGTTCATTTACACATTAGTTAGTGGGAAAAAAGTCTGTTCAATATTTTAATAATTACATGATTTGTAACCAAAAGAAACAGTAGCAAGTGCCAAAGAACTCCCAATGTATGACATGTAGGATAACCACTCTGAAACACAAGAAACTAGGCAATAAAGGAAAATTTCCTGCTCAGATGTTATAAAATGCTAATGGCATTTTATGATGAGATAAAGGCTTTAAGTTAGTATACAACTTACTGGGCAGATAAAATTGCCATATTATTTATACTTTTGCATTTAAATTTTTGTAGTATAGTACTATCCATTTCTTTGACATTTAATTTTACACCAATTTTTTAAGTCTGGGTTCTCAAATCAGTGGCTTGATTTTTTAAATAGTTTCTGATATACCACAAGTGCTTTATTCATTTATCTTTTCTTCTTTCAAAAGGTTTAGTGGGACTGTGCAATGCTGGAGCAATAATCCAGAATGTCCTGAATAGTGAATTCCATTGTAACACCAGATCCAGGATAACATCGAGCTATCAAACCTTCAAAGTGCTTGTACTGGCGTATAAATTCATCTTGCATGGAGTGCCACACCACCTATTATTAAAAAGAAAACAAGGGTTGGGGTTGTAGCTCAGTGGTAGGATGCTTGCCTAGCATGTGTGAGGCACTGGGTTTGATTCTCAGCATTGCATATAAATAAACAAAATAGACATCCATTGACAATGAAAAAAATTTAAAATCATTAAATTATGAGTGGAAATAATTCATAATCAAGTCTGTAGAAATAATTGCGAGACATTGTCTAAGAATTTGGCATAGTATAGTGGTTAAGAACATGCATTCTGGAGCAAGAATCCTAAGACCTTCTGCCTACAAGATCTGTGGCCTCAAGTATGTGATTATCACTGCTCTATGCCTCAAGTTCATCTGTAAACCAGGGTATTAATAATAATACCTTCTCATCCTAAGATTCCTGTGAGAGTTAAATGAATAAACACGTGTATAGCACTTACAAGAGCATCAGACACAAACACACTCATCATGTTTTAGCTATTATACCAACACAGATATGGCTATGCACAATTATGTAGAGAACTGACTATAGATTAAATGTGATGCAACAATTAATGTTTAAATTCCATTTCAGATCAAGTTTAAATTTTTCTTTATCTAAAAGTGATGATGCAAAACATAGCTTGATGCTGGGGAAGACACCAGGGTGAGAGAGATCACTATCTACAATCGAATAACTATAATCCAGCAGTGGAGACTAATATGTGGACCACTATTAAACAGAATTTGCCACACATTGACATAGTGACTTACATTTATTTATATTTATTGAAGCTCACTCTGTATCAGCACAGTGCAAAGTGCTTTGTATATGTATTATGCTATTTAAGTCTCAAGAGGACCTGGTGAGGGTGGGTACTGTGATCATCATCTCCATTTCACAGACAAGGAAATATATTCTTCCAGGATTTTTTTTTCTTGTGAACCTCATAAATCCCAATTTTCTATCAATTTAAGACTAATCACTATTCCCTAACTGTTATTACCCTTTTCATCTTTAAGATCATGTTATTTCTTCCAGCTAGAATGCCATCCTCCCTACTTGTTAAAATTCCTCCTCTCTTATACTTTCAGATGTCAACAAAAATGTAATATCCCTAAATAGGCCTTCTATGATGTTAAAATCAGAATTACTCTCACTCATCTCTGGGCCTTTCAGCATGGTTTATAAGGAACAATGGCTTAAGTTAAGGTTTAAATCTCTTTATCATCTATTAGCTATGAGGTCTTTGTCATGTTATTCCATATCTCTAAGCTTTGATTTTTCTTATTTATAAAATGGCAATGACAATAACAGTAGTGTCCATGTGAACGAGGCATCATTTATACTTTTCAAATAAGGAAGAGATTAAGCAACTTGCCCCAAATCATACAGCTTCATCTGGATCCGGATTATGAACCCATTTCTGATAATAATCTCTACAAGCCCACTGTACTATATTCCACACTAAGATCTAAACAAACAAAAACAAATCCAATCAAATAAAAGAGAAGCAACTTAATGCCTTATCACAATAAAACATGGATATAAAGTAAGCAGAAATGACTATAATTACAGAAATATTATTGCTTTCTTCTTCACAATTTATTAAACTGATTTGCATATTATGAAACTTTCTTCTTGTACTAAAAGTGGAAAACAGGAAGAATTTATAGAGGAATATTTTAGAGAAAAGCAATATATATTCAAGCCAGGATGGCCAAAAGAATGAAGTAGCTGAGCACAGTGGCACATGCCTGTAGTCCCAGTGACTTGGGAAACTGAGGCAGGTCAGCCAGGACAACTTGGCGGGACCACCAGAAACTTAGCAAGACTCGTCTCCAATTCCCCAGAAAACTTGGAATGGAACTATTATTTGACCCAGCTCTTCCAATCCTCAGCATATACCCAAAGGACTTAAAATCAGTGTACTACAGTGATATGGTCACATCAGTGTTTATAAGCAGATCAACTTCACAATAGTTAAACTATGAAACTAACCTAGGTGCTCTTCAACAGATGATTGGTTAAAGAAAATATGGCATATATAATACACAATGGAATATTACTCAGACTTCAAGAAGAATGAAAATTATGACATTTACAAGTAAATGGATAGAGCTGGAGAATATGATGTTTAAGTAAAATACGTCAATCCCAAGAAATCAAAGACCAAATGTTCTCTCTGATATGTGGATGCTAACACAAAGCAAGGGGCGGGGAAGGGAATTATAGAAGTTCACTGGATTAAACAAAAGAAAAGAAGGGAAGAGAGGAGGGATGGGATTAGGAAAGACAGAGACTGAATCAGACATAACTTTCCTATGTTCATATATGAATATGTGACCAGTGTAACTCCACATCATGTACAATCACAAGAATAGGAAATCGTACTCCATGTATGTATAATATGTAAAAACATACTCTACTGTCACATATATCTAAAAAGAATAAAAAATTAAACAACAACAAAAAGACTATCTCCAAATAAAAAAATAAGAAGGATAGAGGATGTAGCTCAGTAGAAAGATCCTCTGGGTTCAATCCCCAAACCAAAAACCAAACAAGTAAGCAAACAATAAACCCAAAACCAAAAACCCTGAAGCATACCTGAAGTAAGTTTTCCTCTTCACATAAATGTTTATCAACTTTCTTATAGAGGTTATCTAGGCCTTTTTTCACTTCCTTTCCAGGATATTCTTTAATAACTTTACGAAGTTCTTGTTTGTTAAATGCAAGTTGGTAACTCACTTCCTCCTCTCTTATACCTTGTGCTACTCGAGCCTCAACACCTTCAAAGAAATGCTTTAAGGAGATGAAAATAAATAATAGTTAAGAATGACTGTTGTTATCATTACAATTAAACAAAAATCAGACAATAGCTGGGTGTGGTGATGCATGCCTGTAATTCCAGCTACTCAGGAGGCTGATGAAGGAAGATGGCAAGTGTAAGGCCAGCCTCTGCAACTTAGCAAGACCCTGTCTCAAAAATAAAAGTAGGGCTGGGTAATAGCTCAGTAATAGCACTAGCCTAGCATGTAGAAGACCCTGGGTTTAATCCCCAGGACTGAAACAAAACTAAACAACAACAAAAAAAACCCAAATTGGTATTATGATACAGTACATATCCATTGTATAAAAACCAGACAACATGTGTGAAAGTATAAATAACAATCACCTATTATAACACTTAGAGATAATCATTATTAACATTTTAGATTTCTTTCTAATCTTTTGATGTAAGTACACAATTGAAATTACAACTCCATACCTTGCATTTTCCACTGAATATTGTGAGTTTTTTTGGTGCTGGGGACTGAACCTAGAGCCTCACACATGCTACACACATACTTTACCACTGAACTACACATCTTGATTTCTCTTAAGTACAAATTGTAATGGTTACATAATAATCCGTCTAATAACTGAATCACTATTCAGTTAATGGATATTTTCCTTTTTTGGGAGTTGACAAAATCTTGTCATATCTTTAAAAATATCCCTTATAATTGTCATAAATATCTTTTGTATATAGTACTTACCCACAATACTAATTATTTTCTAGCAAAAATTTCAATAACTGAAATTACCCAGTGGAGTAGTATGACCATTTTGAAGAGCTTTGTTGTGTACGAACTGCTTTCTAGGAAAGTTCAATCAATTTACATTTCTGTCAACAGTATATAAGACTGCTATATTGAATTATTATAAAACCATGGTTGCCAGAGTACAAAAAGATTGTCATTTTATTCCATAATTTTTGGGCTAAATGAAATTAATTGCTCTCAAACATTTAGTAGTGATTCAGGAGCTGTTCCTAGTTACATACTGGAGTCTTGGTACTTTACTGATTTTAAAAAATCTTTATTTAAATATATTGATTACAGTATGATTACAAATATTCTTCTCAGGTTGTCTTTAAGTATGTTTAGATTTTTAAAACATTTTCTTTAGTTGTTGATTAACCTTTATTTACTTACGTATACGTGGTGCTTAGAATTGAACCCAGTGCCTCACACATGCTAGGCAAGCACTCTACCAACTGAGTCACAACTCCAGCCCTATATTTGAATTTTTAATATGAAATTTTGCTGATATGCCTGTATTTAAGCACTTTACAATATGATTTAATACTGATAAAGACAATACCCTGTCATTACTATTTTTTCCCCTTTGGGTACTAGGGATTGAACCCAAAGGTGCTTTATCACTGAGCCACATCTCCAGCCCTTTTTATTTTTTTTATTTTGAGAATGGGCCTTGCTAAGTTGCTTATGGCCTCACTTAATTGCTGAGATTACTGTGTGTACCACCATTTCTGGCAATAAATGGTTTTCAATATATTTATTTTTTGAATCTTGCCCCTTAATCAGAGACTAGTATTTTCAACATATCATACATATACTGGCAACGATAATCCCTACTCTCCATTCTTTAACTCTTATGTAGGTTTCAGGTCTTACTGGAGTAGATAGAACTATGTTAAATAGTAAAGGCTTTTGGTGATGTTTCCACTTTAGATTTAATTTAAAAGAAAATGCCTATAATGCATTAAGCATCATGCAGGTTTTAGGTTCGAGATGGATGTGTGTGTGTGTGTGTGTGTGTGTGTGTGTGTGTGATCATGGTTGAACCCAGAGGGTGCTTAATCACTGAACCACATCCCCAGCCCTTTTAAAAAATTTTGTATTTTGAGACTGGGTCTCACCAGGTTGCTTACAGTTGCACTAAACTACTGAGGCTATCTTCTAACCTATGATTTTCTTGCCTCAGCTTCCAGAGCCTCTGGGATTATAGGCATATGCCACAGTGCCTGGCTGAGATGGATCTTTTGTCTGATTAATGGAGTACCTGCTGGGCATGGTGGCACATGCCTGTAATCCCAGCAGTTTGGGAGTCTGAGGCAGGAGGATTACAAGTTCAAACTCAGCCTCAGTAACTTAGTGAAGCCCTCAGCAACTCAGTGAGACTCTCTAAATAAAAATGGGCAATGGGCTGGGGATGTGGCTCAGTGATTAAGCGCCCTTGGGTTCAATCCCTGGTTACAAAAAGAAAAAAAAAAAAAAAGTAGCCGTCTGATTCAGTTTTATAAGGAATTGGCTTTCTATATTTGATTAAATGTCTTTTAAATATTTCTTTGAATTATTTGCAACAGATATGTATTTGGTTTTAGTTTCAAATGAAAAAATTATAAAAGATGATTGATCACAATGTGGGCAAAGTTAGTTAGAAGGGTTCATATTTAAGCTTCTGCTATGTTAAAAAAGTACCCTAAAATCATCATCTCCTTTTATTATTGATCTGCTCTGTTAGGAAAGAAAGAAAAGCAAAGGTAATGTACAAAACAAATCTTGGTTTCCTTTTATCTTGGCACAGGCTGGTCATTATGAGGCAAGAATGGAAAGAGCCTGGTATAACAGAAAGCCCAGCCTGGGTTCACTCCCACCCCAGCTTTGCTTTTACATACTATTTTGATGGCAGGCAAGTTTATTTACTTTCAGTTTCTTCATCTATAAAATGAGGGAATACTACCTTAGCTCAATCAATTTTCATAAAAAGAAATAATGTGCATAGAATATCTAGCAATGTCTCCAGACTGTCATCTTTGATAACTGAGTCTTTCTCCTATGTCAGTAGACCAGCAACTTTAAGATAAATAAATGCATGTTATTCACATGTAAACAGATGCACACAGGTACAAAACCAAGAAAAAATTCTGAATAAAAATATATTTACATTTAGTTTTTCAAGAGGCTGTCCTAAAGAGTAGATAACGTAAGACTGAAGGTGATCTGTGTATTTCTGTTTGGCTTCTTTTTTTTCAGCTTCTAGACAGGAGATTTTCAAACGAGAAAGAGTTGCAAAAATATGGTGAAAGTTTTCCATCATAACCACATCCCTGGGGGTCTTCTGACTTTCATTTGCTACTTTCTCCACTAAAATCAAAGCAGAAAAAAATATAAATAAAATCTCTGATATGACTGTGACCATATTTAGTTATCAGCATAGTGGTGATTCTTTTTTATTTTTTCTCTTGTATGTTTAAGAATCAAGCACATTTCTGGACTAAATAAATTTTTTTTTTTTTTTATCTTGGAGAGTCTTTACAGACACCTGAACACAGTTAAGTCATCCTAAAATAGAACCATGTATAAATGGAAATTTAGTATGAGTTTTTTTTTTCCCCACCCCCCTGCAATAAAGGGGACTGAACCCAGGGATGTTCTACCATTGAACTTCATCCCTGGCCGTCTTTACGTTTATTTTGAGACAGGGTCTTGCTAAATTGCAGCATCTGGCTTTAAACATGCAATCCTCCTGCCTCAGCCTCCTGGGCGGCTGGGATTACAGGCATGTGCTACCATGCCCAACATAAAGGTGACTTTTTAAATCAGTGGGGAAATAAACTATTCAAAATGTTTCAGGACGAGTTTTTTTTTTTTTTTTTTTTTTTGGTACTGTGGATTGAACCCAGAAGTGCTTGACTACTAAGCCACATCCTGAACCCCTTTTTATTTTGAGATAGGGTCTTGCTAAGTTGCTGAGGCTGGTTTTGAACTTGTGATCCTTCTGCCTTAGTCTCCCGAGTTGCTGGGATTACAGGCATGTACCACCATGCCTGGCTAAACTGGTCCTTTTGAGTACATTAAATTAAATCCCTATTTCACATCTTTCACTAAACTCCAAGTTGATTAATTACTTAAAATGTAAAATAAATGAAAGGCAATTGAATTAGTGAAATAGTTTATAGCGTATTCAGCTGGCAAAAAAGTTGATAATACACAGTAATATCTAGCACTGATACAGCATATATAGTAATGGAAACTTTCACCAACTGCTCATAGCCCTAAATAGGTACGAGTTCACCATATCATGGTAATTTGGCAAAAGTCTTGAGATATATACAACCTCTTTGGCCCAGAAATTCTATTTATTTACAATTTACCCTAAGGAAATTTTTTAAAAAATTTATTTATGTATCTTTAGTTTTAGGTGGACACATTAGTTTGTTTTTATGTGGTGCCGAGGATTGAACCCAGTGCCTCATGCATGCTAGGCGAGCGCTCCACCACTGAGCCACCACCCCAGCCCCCCTAAGGAAATTATTCAACAAGTATACAAAGATAAATAAACTAGAGACAAAGTAAAAACATATTAATAGAAGATTTTTAAAATAAATAATGAAATATGGAAGACTATCTAGTCATTAAAATGATTATAGTCATACATATTAATTGACAAGCATGCACAATAGGATTATAGGGTTCAGCAGCTTCCAAAATAGTATGTGTAAGGCATGATAAAAAATTTTGCATTAAAGCACACATGCAGGAACACCCCCACCCCCCACACAATATATATGTGCATATATACTGAGAAGAAGAGTGACACTGAACATTTTGGAAGAATAAAAATTAAGTGTCATTGCGGCTGGGGTTGTACCTAAGTGGTAGAACACCCGCCTAGCCTGTGTGAGGAACTAGGCTCGATTCTCAGCACCACATATAAATAAATAAAATAAAGGTCCATTGACAAATAAAAAGTATTAAAAAAATTAAATATTATCGCTGAACAATGAGATTACAAATGATTCTTGCTTCCTTCTTGATTTTAAAGAATCTGTTTTCCAATTTTTTGAGGAGGTATTTAATAAGCACATTTTATTTTAGAATAAACAGTACAAAGCTAATTTGAATTTTAAAAGAAAAAAAAAATCAACCAATCATTAAATCTATCTTTTCTCAAATGTTTCTATTCAAAATGTTATAAGCAACTGATGAAATGATTCCACTTCTTGTGAATTTCTTAGATTTTAAAATTCTTTTTTTAAATTTATTTTTTGGTTATTGGCGGAAACAACATCTTTGTTTGTATGTGGTGCTGAGGATCGAACACAGGCCGCACGCATGCCAGACAAGCGCACTACCGCTTGAGCCACATCCCCAGCCCCTTAAAATTCTTGAGTATAAGTAATCAGTACATTATTTCAAATTAAATGACATGTCTATACTGTTTCTAATTTGATTGTGGGATTTGACTAGGAAGACAGTGAGTTATAGTATTATGGCACTAATCTCCCTGTGCAACAAAAATTGAGGCCTAAGGAACTGAATTGATTTGTTCACATTACATAGATATCACTGCTCATCATCTTTAGAGACTCTTGTTAAAATGCAAATATAAAAAAAAATGCAAATATAATCTTGGAGATCATTTTTTGTGTTTAAAAATGATTTTCAATTTTGTATAGTGATAAGTCCCTATAAACTCTAAAATGTAAGTGGTTTCTGAATATAAATAGGTTTTATGTACTGCTTCCTTTTCGATTTAAGAAACCTTTAACTTCAGAAAACTTAAAATAAGACTATAGAATATGGAAAAGGAAGGTCATTTGTGTCTCCAATGTTTGAATTACCAGAAATAATGAAAACAATAGTCACAAAAATTCTTTAGAACAAAAGCTTACCATTAACAAACACTCCTCTGATGAGTTTGGTATAAGCTTTATCCAGATCTCCACGACGCTCTGCATTTTTAAAGATTGATTCTGCGAGTCCAGCAAATTCTTCAAATTCAGCAACAAATGGAAGAATTCCTACCTTACTCTTCTTTGAGATCTTTACTTCTTCCATTTGCCTTATTTGATTACTCTAAAGTTAGGCAGAAAGGAGGGGAGAGAAATAGCCAAGGAACTTAGAAACTAAATATAATTATAATCAAATGCATATGAGATGAAGGCAGGGACATTAGTACCCGAGAATATTTGGAATGCTTATTTATAGCTTGAACTGTTAAAGATGAATCACAACAAGGGAAACCAAGAAATACTAATTGTATGGATTTTAAAAAACACTTTTCTAATATGTCTTATTTAAGAAAATAAGATTGAATAAGGAAAAATCAAACAAGACACATTGGAGAATTGTGAACTTCAGGACTGTTAAATAAAAAACAATAAATATGCAATTCTATCATTTATGAATTTATGGGTGATTGCCCATTCTGTGTTAGAGCAGATCAGATACCAGAGTACACGTAAGATCTCTCTGGGTTAATAGAACTGATGGCCATGTGGCCAAGTTTGAGAACAATAGCCATTTCTAATTTTCATCAATCTAAAATTTCTGTTTGGATAGGAAAATTTTCTCTTTGGGAGTATAGTAATGCAGAGGGAGGACAGGTATTTCTATTATAGGTTTGTATTATAAAGTTGCCCATCTATTAATGACTTAATTCTAAGTTTAGCAAAGTGCTTGTGCTTGACAGTGATCAAGTGTAAAATGGGGATGTTTTATATAGACAGAATCCAGACACCAGCATTGAAAAAGACCTGTTGCTTCAATTGTGGAACTATGTAATTCTTAGGGGATCTAGATCTATTCACAGTCAAATTATTTCAATTTCTTCGTATTGTTTAATGTGTCACAAATTTGGAAGTATAATTTGAACATATGAAATGGACACATAATTATTTCAGGTATTAATATAGAAGGCCCTGTGAGTACTGTCAACTATTTCATATTATCTTTACTAATGTTACCCTTCAGTAACGCTGATATCCATGAGGTGTAAATTTGGATGCAGCGGAGAAGGCAGTGGTAAGACTGCAGGTGCTTGAACCACAATGTCTGGGTTCGAATAGCAGCTCTGTGACTTTTTAACTGTTGACTTCAGGTAAGACACTTCACCTGCCTAACCACCTGCCTGATGGGAGAGTGGTGGTGGTATGAGATGGTGTGTGCAAAATGCTTAGATCTGAGCCTGGTACATAGTAAACACTAATTATGAATGCTAGTCTATTGTTCTTACTAAGCTTCATATAGGTATTTCTCTGTGTAGCATTTAAAATATATAGGACATATAGTTTGAAGACACTTAACATTAATAGGAAAAGTGTTTGTGTGTGTAAAATCAGGCCACTGCATATACTAAACATGACCTCACACATGCTAGGCGAGTGCTCTACCTCCGAGCCACAACCCCAGCCTGCAGGGAATGTTTTAAATCCTCTCTGGATTTGTGTCAAGCACAGAGTAGAAATAGTGCATTCATTTAAGAAAAGGGTTATCAATGAGGAAATTCTAACAAAAGTCACCCAAATTTCTCTCAAGGTGGTTACCCAATCATACTGCCATCATCAGAACGACATGCAGGTTATTCACTGTTTAAGACTACAACTTTAATGATAGCCATATGTTATATTATTTGTTCAACTTTTGTCCATGGTAATTTAACTAAGTCAAATAATTCTTAAAGGTTTAAAAGAACAAGTCTGCATCACCATGGTGTGAAGAATCCTGAAAAGCAAGTGAAACACGGTTAAGACAAGTTCTGGATCACAGAATTCAGCTTGGTAGAACTTGATGTATAAGTGACTCTAAATTTCACTCTAGTACAGGCAAGGATAGCTTTCTTGTCCTATTCTTTGAAGAACACTTGATACTTTTTGCTTGGGCACCTGATGGAACTGTAGAACTCAGGTGCTGTTCCACATTCTGTAGTCATTTGATATTTATGCTTTTTCCTCAACACACACAGATCCTGTTTATTACCTTTTCAAATTCTGCATGCCCTAGGTTTTTCTCCTTTTAAATGCCAAAATATACAATACATATAACCTTGTTGGGAACATACAGTCTGCCAGACACTATAAGATATGATTTAAAATAGACAAAGAGATGAATGATAGGCAGCAGGTAGGTCCTTTAGACATCTGAAATTTAGGAGATAATGTGAATCTATACTTTTCTCTAGGTTACACCATTTTTCTAGTACCTGTCTTGAGAGTAACAGGACCATTCTTTAATAAGCCATTCTTAATTACACAAGCTATGCAGGATTAGGCTCTTATTTTATGCCAGGTGTGTTAAGCACTTCATTTGAACCACTGTGTTCATCTATCTATTGCCACATCCTAAGTTCTACTGGGTCAAGCAAGAGGTACTCCATGAACTTACGTTTTACTGATAAAAACAATTAAGCCTTTACATTCTGTAAACATGTAGTGTCCTTATGATTTAGCATTACAACTGCATCTGCATCACATGGAACTCATTATCTTAGCCTTTGGTAGCTCTTCCTTTTCCTTTTAGCTGTCAGTCTATAGTCAGACTTAGGCTGACAGCTAAATGGTCAACTTTCATAGTATTTCCAATACCAAGTGAAATCATGTTGGTAGGATTAACAAGTTTATTAAAGAGATAGTCAAGTTTCTATAACAGATTGCTTTTATAGCTTCAGAAACTCTGTAAATATTATTTTACAGAGTATATAATAAAATATGTATAAAAATGTATATACTTTTTTATACTTTTACATAAAGTATAAAAAATGAGCCAGGTATGGTGGCATACACCTGTAATCTCATCTACTTGAGAGGCTAAAGCAGGAAGATCACAAGTTTGAGGTCAGCCTGGGCAACTTAGCAGACTCTAGTCTCAAAATAAAATGTTAAAAAGACTAGAGATGTGGCTCAGTAATGGAGTGCTTGTCTACCATGTAGGAGGCCCTGAGTTCAATTCCTAGTAACTTCCCAAAATAAAAAATACATAAACAACATGGGTTTTTAATTGTCCTTAATATTTTTTTTACCTCTCATTATTGCATGGATATTCAAGAGTTAGCTATAACTGAGAGGTTACAGAGTAGAAATACTCAAATGATACATATCCACTTTTAAAAAAAGTAAATGCATTAATAAGATTAAACCCTTTTTAAAGGATATGATCCAGCTCAATTCAGACCTACAAACTTATGAAAACCTAACAGACTATAAAGAAAGTTGTTAATGATTTTTTTACCCTACTAGAATAAGAAAAATAATGATTACTGGATATTATTATAATAATTCATTCTTAAAATAAAGCAATACAATTATTAAAATTATTAAACTACTAAAATAAAGAAAACTATCAATTAAAATAATCAAAAATTAGCTTTCTCATAAGAATATAAGAAAAAATTGTAACAATAAGCCCACATGACAGTTTGACTTGTTCCATGAAGTCAATGGTCATTGAGATGTCAGTAATCAGTGGCTCTTTTACACAGCTGCTGCCACTGTGCCACCTACTCTGGAACTTGCCAAGATTCACAGCACAGCACAGATGGCATAGTGCCATCCCACTGTTCATATAGGTGGACACCAATACCCATTTTTAAGGCTTTGGGGGATGCAAACGTTAGAACCCCAAGAGAAAGCTGGAGACCCCTTGATCTAATAAGTACCTAGTTTTAAGAAATGATTAAAATTATTTTTATAAAAAAAACTTACAATGCATTTGTCAAAGTTTCTTTTGACAGTCACTAAAACATTTCCCAATGTAGTACTTAGAAAAGAAGCAGGATCCACATTTTGTGCAGTCCATACATGGTGACTCATTTTGACTAGCATGTAAAGGGAGTTAAAACTATCAATTTTGTCTCCTAATGCAATTAGGTTGTTTAGTTCTGGCTCAATGCAGCGAAATATTTTAATCATCATTTGTCGAATCATATCTTTCCTGTTTAGAAAATATAAAGAATATAAAAGTTATTATAAGCTTCAGGTGAATTAATTCACAATATAAAATAACTAAAATTTAGTGTTTCAATGAAAAATGTCCAAATTGATGAACTTACTACTGTACAATTTCCAATATAAAAATATTTTAATGAAGGTAAGTTCTTATTGTTCCAATAAGCTTTATGTCATCTGTAAAGATGGATTCTGAAATGTGTTTCATGAATACTAAGAAATACATTACAATTCAAAGGCTGCCTCCTATAAGCAAATGTCAGAATTGGATGAATCTTCTGTGATTACTAGGAAGAAGAGTTGAAGGGCCACACAACACCAATTTTAATCCAGTAAAATGGACATTCTTATCAGTGCTGTCAGGTTACTGGAAAACACCTGCACTCCTCAATGAACAGCACTTCTCTATGTTTCAATTTGAAGTTTGTTTTTTTGGTGCTGAGGATTAAACCCAGGGCCCTGCATATGCTAGGAAAACAACTAACTGAGCTACATCCCCAGCCCACTAAAAGTTAATTTTTTTCCCAAAATAAATAAGAGACATTAACAAATACATACTCAGATGACACAGCCAATTGTGTGCTAGAATTATGTTGTCGTGATAACATTCCTCCATCCAGATCCTCTGCTTCAGTCTGTAAAAATTATTTAGGTACTTTACATAATAAAAGACCAACAATTTGACTAGTTTATATAGCAAAAGCCTGCTCAGTCTTAAAATGTCTAGGAGAGAATACACTATGAAAAGTAATGATTTTTTATTGGTAGTATAATGATTTTTTAATGATAGTATTCCTAATGAAGCTATATAATTTAGTGTGCTATTTAAGGATATTCATGAAATGCATTTTTATTAGAATTTTACCTGAGAATTACTTTGGGGTGAGAAGGTGTATTTATCTGTGTGCACATGGTGGGGGGAGGGAGAGTGCTAGAGGCTAGGAATATTAGGAATGGCAAGGCAGCTCAACAAAAAAATGGAAAATGTCCAAAAACAATTTTTAAAAGAAAATTGAAACAATTAAGGAAACCTCACCAATCACTGTAACAAAACTTGAACATTTAAAAATATATCAGGGGACTAGGGTTGTGGTTCAGTGGTAGAGTGCTCACCAAGCATGCATGAGGCATTGGGTTTGATTCTCAACACGATATAAAAATAAAATAAAGATATTGTGTCCACCTTAAAAAAAAAAAAAACTGGAAAAATACTGGCTGGGGTTTTGTGGCTCAGTGGTAGAGCACTTGCCTAGCATGTGTGAGGCACTGGATTTGATTCTCAGCACCGCATATAAATAAATGAATAAAATAAAGGTCCATCAGTGTCTAAAACAAACAAACAAACAAAGATCAAAAATTCTTATAAACCAACAAATAAGCAAACTTATCACCAATACCATCATTAACAACAATGAAATCCCAACCATTTCTAGCAACAAATGAAAATCAGTCATAAAATGAATTTTTTGTCTAAGGAAAACATTTTTAAGATGACCTTAATTTAAAAAATCACTCTATTTGTACTGTGTTTTTAAGTTCTTCAAATTTTCTATGCTAGAAAATCACTTATTTTGTTTCCTCACATTTATGCCACCCCAACGCATGCTGAACAGGCATCCACTTTATAGAAGAGAAAACTAGGGATTAAATGATTGGCTTAAGGTGTGTAGTTAGTAAATATTATATACATACACATACACATTTTTTCTTGGTAATTATTTGAAATGTTAAAATTATTTTTTAATAATATTCTTTAGAAAGTAAACACAAACATTAGAGAATGTTTAGGTGTAAGACATTCTGGACTATCAGGTGCCCAAACTATCACTGCTTTCATTATTTTATGATATGACAAAATGTTTAAAGATCACTATATCACACATTCTTTCCTTTTCTGTTTGGATAATGAAACTCTGACCACATGTTATTTAGTTTAATTATGTTACAGACTATAAATACCAGTCAAAATAGATGTACATCATACCATAGTTCCAGGCATACTTGGATGTTGCTGCAGTTTGAAAAATTTACTTATGAAGTCCTGTTCTGCCAGACACAGGGGTTCTAGTTCACTTAGTACCTGTTCAAAGATCTAAAGAAAACCAAAATGATCCTATAGTGAAAAAGCTGTATGAAGTACTTAAAATAACATCCCCAATTAATTCCCTCTGTTATAAGGACCTGGATTATACTGCATTGCCTTTGGGCTTCTGTTGGGTTTCTGTTGGGGTTCTGTTGGAGAACCCCATAGACACCCCCTTCCAAAAATGGTAGGACAAATACAATATAACCCAGGTAACACAGGCCCACAGAACATACTTAAAAAAACTCAAAAGGGTTTTTCTCTTCAAATCTAGGAAGTGGAACACAGAGATAAACTTTTAAAACTTATTTGATTAATGCAGAGCCCAGTTAAGCTGTTATTTTCCCTTTGTGGTTATTTGAATAACTTAGAGATGAGAGCACTTTATAACTGAATTATTTTTTTGGTACTGGAGATTGAACCCCGGGATGCTTTACCATGGAGTTATACTCCTAGTCCTTTTTATTCTTTATCTTGAGATAAGGTCTTGCTAAATTGCTGAGGCTGGCCTTGAACTTGTGACTCTACGACTCAGCCTTTTGAGTTGCTTGAATTATAGTCATGTACTATAGTGCCTGGCACTTTATGATTTATGAAAATGAATTTTAAAGAAACTTTTATGTTATTCAATTGATAATTCACATTTTAGCTGCCATTTGACTAGTATTTTTTTTTCCCCAGATTTAATTCGGAATTGGAAAGAAAGACATGGCTAATGTCTTAAAGAAACCCCAAAGAACCTAAATCTTTGAAAACACTTAAAGCAACCGTAAACTGCTGTTAGAAAAGAAAAAGTAATGCTAATGGTTAAGAAGTACTTGTTTTATTTTACCTTATCAAATTTGGTTCTGTCAGCAACATCAAGATCAGATGCAGACATATTTCCCATATCCAACAGGGAAGATGACTGGGATCTGCGATTCCCTGAACTCTGAACACTGAGTTTATTTAGACTAGAAGTAGATCCAGTTAATTTCCCAGAACTTCCGTGAAGACCTAAGAAATAATAAAACTTTGAAAGTTGTGATCTTTACAAATAAAAGATCTGGAGTATAAATCAGGGCTACCTCCTACTGTCTTGGTCTTTTAGGACTCACATTACTTAGTGCACAAGGGGCAGGATGTACAGTGTCCTTGTTGTTTAGTAACATTTGTGTCCCATTCCAGTGCATATTGCAAAGAGAAGCAAAACTACACAGATCCATAGAATAGGATTGAAAGGACCAGTATGCTAACTTGATTTTGTTTTATTTCTGCAGAAAACTGCCTGAATCATTCATGTCCACCTTAAATCTGTATATTAGGTTGATCTATATGTAACTGCCAATACTTAATCATTTTGCCCTATAAAAAAAGAGTCAATTACATATAATTCAACTTAATATATTCCAGGACCTAGAAACTCTGCTTTTTCCAGTAAATGAACTACTTAACTCCAGTTCTTTAAAAACTAGAAAAAATAAAGAAAAGCAAAGCATACTGAGAATTTACTATACTTAAAACATAAATTAAATGTAATGCATGTATCACTAATCATACTTATAATGAGATGTCTGTGTTTAGGTTGAATTTAGGTATCATAGCCATGAAGAGAAGTAAGAACATACGGCTGGACAATCTCACAACACCAAGGAATTAAAGGATTCAAAATTTATAAGAAAATGTGATATTATGACTCAGAATTAAATACAAACAATACATATAATATTTAAAAACATTTTTCTTCAATACCTCTCATTTAATTTGTACTACTTGCTAATGGTCAGAAGGGACAAATGGAGATCTAATAAGTGCAGTTAAGACAAACTTTGGCTTCATTATGCAAATCTGACCATATCTGTAAATTTTTTAAAAATAGAGTTTCTAAATACAGCCTGAAAATAGAAGTTTGATGGTTAAGCCTTTTCATAAATTTCTGACACTAAGTTTTACTACTTGCCATATAATTTCCTATATTACATATTTCTTAGATATAGCCATACCACTACCATCATGTTGGTTTTCTTTCTCCAATACCTGGCAGTTCAAAGCAATTGATATTTCTGGTATTAACTTTTTCAAGACAAATAACTAGTTACTAGACATTAAACAAACATGCATTGAGAATACCTTCTAATACACTAAGCATACTCACTCTCTGTTTCCTGTTTGACAGCACTTTCTTTTCGAGGCAGTGTAGCTGTGATGGATTAGGTTGCAAGCATCAAAGACAAAGACAAGTTAATAAACTGCAATTTGCACAAACCATGCACAAGAGGAAGTTAAAGCTCTAGTTTAAAAGACACATGCAAAGAACCATGAGCATCAAGTAACAAGAAGTGGAAACACATGTTTAGTTGGTCAGCTACTGTTTGAGAAATTATGAGAGAATAAACTTTACTAGTTTTTAATGTACTGTTTTTTATATTCAGTAAAAAAATCTATATTTCTCAACACCCCCACATACTTTTAAATGATTTTTGTTTTAACGCTAGGAAGCTGGTACATTTAAATTTAAAAGGTAATTTGCAAGTTCTGGTTTCTTGAGAAAATGAAGTTCAAGTAATAATTTAATACAGTGGAGATTTATTAGAACGAAGTTGTATATTTAGATATTAACAATCTTTGTTCCTTGAAAGTTCCTGAAAGAAATCTCTACTGTGCTAAATAATTTTGTACTATATCTTATGAAAATTATGTAAGGGATTTAAGACCATTTTAAAATTAAAAACAAATATCGAGCTTAATTACTAATTTGTCTTGTGAAAAAGCACATATTTAATACTAACAATCAGGAGATGCGGAAGGGGAAGGTTGAAGGAACAGATTTAATATAAGATTTTGAACTCTTTTAGGGTCATCTGGCATTTCTTTTATTCTAAAACTTTGCTTTATATAATATTTATATATCATTTTTAGAGCTCATCTTGTGAACGATGCTAAACTCAAATTATAAGTTAATGTGGGGCTGGGGTTGTGGTTCAGTGGAAGAGTGGTCATCTAGCATGTGTGAGGCACTGGGTTCGATCCTCAGTACCATATGGATATAAAATGAAGATATTGTATCCACCTAAAAAACTAAAAAATAAATACTTAAAAAAAAGTTAATGTGAAAGACAAAAAATAAACCATAGAATGAAACAGGAAGCTAAAGAATATAAACATAATCTAAAATTACCTTAAGAACAGAGAACAATGTGCCAGTTGACACCATCCCTGAATACTTCAAAGCAAAAGACCAAGTATAAGCTTTTAGCTTACTAAACCTGTGATACAGATATCTTCCCAGCCATGGCTACCTGAAGCTCAAAGGAATATGAAACAAAAATCCTGCACATTAAAGTGGCAAAGAGGAATTGCAGTAGAGATAATAGCTAGCTAATCTGAACAGTACTTTCTACTGGTCTTTGGTTACCATTATGCTATGTTCACTAGTTTCAGGACAGAGCCTAATATTTACATAATTTTCTTTTTTTAGTAGCCAATAGTGAATACAGAGTTACTAGTAGTGCCCATTAATTATAATTTGGGGTTCATAAAATTAATCTATGTTATTTATCAGCAATAAGGAGTACTACAAGTAAACATTTTAATGTCTTTAAATAATCCTAGGAGAATATAAACTTAATAAAGATAGGGTCTTTGCTTGTTGCATTCTCAGTACCTATTGTATAATAGGTATTATTATATGTGATTAATGACTAATTATTGAATTACAATTCTAGCCAGCTGTGATTGAGCGTTGTATTCAAGAAGGGTTTTAGCATTAACAAGATTTCTTAGTGGAAAAACAATGATATAATGATTTTGGCACATAATTTTTAAGAATTTATAATATTAAATAGGAGGGAGAATAATAACAAATGAATATATTAAGTAACTGTCATGTAGAAAAAAATGATGGTGATTTTAAAAATAATTACTAAATTTCCTTTGCCTGCTATTTTATTGAAGTATATTTGTAGGCTATAAAGAAAAAAAAAAGTACCAAAATATTCATCCTAGGGTAAAAATTCTTTGCCTCTGAGGATATCAAAGTAAACTTACTAATCAAGCTTATTAATGATCTATATAAAGACCTTATCACATACTTTCCTGGCATCTTTAATATATTTTGAATTATTTGAATTAAGTAGATATTAAAGACTTAAGAGTTGCTTAAAAAGAGAAGGATGTTCCCTTGGCTCTCTATAACTATACTGACTATGCAACTTCCTTTTGTTACATTCTATCTCACTATTCATATCAGAGTTACTAGTACTGCCCATTTCCTTTTGTTACATTCTTATCAGCAAGTAAAAAGCAATAGAAATTTAAATTTCATTTATAATTACTTAACTTTGATTCACTGAAAAGTTATCTTTCCAAATTTTCAGGTTTCTATTTTAGTTTATAATTACTATTTAAAGTTCATTTAAACATCATTTGGATCATTGAAAAAAAATCTTTAAAAAAACTACATTTTGCCTTATTTGGCATTTAGGTCATTTGTATTTAATTTGAAATTTACTTTTTTTTTAAATGAATGTTTCCAACTAATAAATTAGATCTTCAGAGATGAACCAAACTGTTTTTATCTTCTGAATCATTTAGTTTTCCTTCTTGCTCTCTTTTTTAAGTTTTCCTTCTCTTATAGCTAAGATCAAAATAACTGCTACTGTAGTTTTCTAGGCATCACAAAATTACTCTCCTATTCATTACTTTTTAATAGATACATAGGAAAAATATGATTCTGACACTTCTAAAAACTATGGAACTGCCTTCTAAATGTGCATTATGTGAATTTATTTATTTATCTATTTATCTATCTATCCATCTATTTATTTATTCTCTGGTGCTGGAGATTGAACCCAGGGCCTTGTGCATGCAAGGCAAGCACTCTACCAACTGAGCTATATCCCCAGCCCTAAAAATGTTTTTAATGAGATAATATAAGAACTTCTCAAGGAGTAAGAAAGAAAAAGTTTAGGTTTCAGGTTAATGCATTGATAACACTAAGATACTATTATACTTGATTTAAGTTTATTTTTATTATTTCATTTATTTTAATGTGGCTCTGACTTGTTTTCATATACAGAAGTTCTCTCGATATAAAATGGTTCACTAACAAGTGATGACAAATATACTTAATGAAACATTAAACATGTAACTGCATTAATAATATGCTCTTTACTCAAAAAAAAGCATAACATATCCACAGTGAAACATTAACAAGAATACACCACTGTTCAAGAACAATTAACCTTTAGGATGAGTTAGCATTTCTGTTTCCAAAAGCCTAATGTCCCAAGATTCTTATCAGTATCTTTACTAAAGTTTATTATATTTACTGACAAACAATTTCTAATGTCTGGACAGTATAACTAATATATTCATGTATTATTATTAATTTTTTTTTGGTAGCAGGTATTGAACCCAGTGGCTCTTAACCACTGAGTCATATACCCAGCCCTTTTTATATTTTATTTAGAGACAGGGTCTCCCTAAGTTGCTTAGGGCCTTGCTAGTTGCTGGGATTGACTTTGAACTCACATTCCTCCTCCCTTCGATTTACAAGCCACTGAGATTACAGGAGCGGGCCACCATGCCCGGTTGGCGCTGTATTTTTTAAATAACGGTGAATAAAAAAGAATTACCACTAAAGACAGTCTTCTCTGTTCCTAAAGAATAGAAACATGTGCTATCAATTTTCGATCAAGTTTACTGGTTACTGAGTTGCTTAGGGCATAGGCTACTTTCAACAAGCAAATGCTAAACTCATTATTCTAAAGGAGAGCTATGCAGACATGGTGAGGAGGATTACACAATGTAGCCCTTTAAGGCCAGGTTTGGACTTGAATAGGCACAGATTTTCATCCAAATGGAACTCCAGAGATGGATACATGCAAGAGCACAACTTGGCCTCAGCACATCAGGGTCCTTAACTTGATACTTTCACTGGCTATTCACAAATTATGGCTTTTGTCCATTTAAAATATTTAGAAGCAACAAAAAAATAACATGTGTAACAAAAAATAAACATCGCTTTAGGAAAATAAGGCATAATCAGAGGGAAATTTTGGGCATTTTTATAGTCCCTTGACAGGGAAAAAAAATTCTTAAACTTTCTCTTTAATTCAAAATAGCCAATGAGAAGTAAGAAGCCGGGAATCACTTTCATTTCTCTGAAAAGAGCAATGACTTAAGAGATCAATGACCTGCACCCACTGTTACAAAGATCTTCTAGGGAATCAGAAACTGAACTTTCAACATCAGTCTCATAGTCTAATACTTTCTCTACCACACTGTGCTTCATCTTCTCATCAACTGCTTTCCCTATGAATATATATTTTTATATATAGCATAAACACAATTGCTGTCACAAAACCCACAAATTATAGTTTTAATTAGTAAAAAAAGTATATATGTTTTTATGAAACATTCATAAATCAAATGTATTAGATCTCCTCTTTCATTAATTCTATTGTATCTTCTTCCATCTTGTTGAAAACATCTTAGAATTATGTCATAAATAAAACCATTTATAATAGGAAGATAATGAACCAACATGCCTAAGCTTACCAAACTTCTTGCTTTCTTTAGTTGTGCCAGTCATCTTGATCTTTGCAACTTCAAAGAAATCTTTGATTTCTCTTTCATACAGTCGGGATAAATAATCCATGTAATTCTTAAAACAAATGTAACATGTACTTCTTATTAATAAAACATATATAACAATTTCTACTTTTCAATCTCCACCCAATCCCTCAAGTTTCTTATAATTTTTTTTTTTTTTTTTTTTGGTCAAAAACCTTGGTGCATTTAATAGTATGTTAAAAAGTAGGCTACTTTCTTTCACACTTTTTTTTTTTTTTTAACTAGAGACTGAACTCAGTCTCAGGGGTGTTGTACCATTGAGCTATATTCCCAGTACTTTTTATTTTGAGATAGGGTCTCATTATGTGGCTGAGGGCCTTACAAAAGTTGCTGAGGTTGGCCTTGAACTTGTGATCCTAAACTGAGGCTCTGAAGTCACTAGGATTACAGGTTTACACCATTGTACCTTGCACCGTTGCACACTTGAAATATTGTTACAATCATACCTGGCAGAATATTTGAATCTGGGAAATCATGTTTCTGCTGTCTCATGTTGTGATGATAGCACAGTACTTTACTTTGTTAGTCTAATACAGGACACTGAAGTGGTTTTGATGTTTTGCTATGACTGTGTTATAATCCATCTCTAATGAATTGTTTCCTTGGGGCAATTTCCTAAGGTCCCTAGGGTCCAAAGAATATGATTCTTTATGATTCTTCCTCCACACTGCCATGTTGTTTGACTGATACACAGTGCCCCTGGCAATGGGGAACATTTAGTTTCACTGAGTCCTTGTTGAACTTGGGTGTTATGGCATATATAAATTATTTTCAGTAAGAATTTTGAACAACTCATTTTCATAATTAATGTGTTTTCTTGAAATGGATTTGGTTAACTGTTCCTTACATGAAAACATCCATTATTTAGCATGCAAACTAATTTCTTTATCATCTCTGCTTATTGTCACATAAAAATACTTATGCCCTCAGGAAGGACTCTTCAACAGTAGGAGGCCAGACATTTTTCCAAGTCCCAAGTTTAATGCCATTATATCATAGAGTTTGACTAAATTTAAACAAATAATGAGAAAAATTATTCCTAGCAATTTTTAAAAATTTATCAAGGAATCTAAGCTTCAACTTCCTTTATTTTCTCAAATTAACATATCATTCTTTAGAACAGGTTTATGTTCCTGCTTTAAAGATCAGGTATAACTTTCCAGAACTTACAAACTATGTAAACATTTGGATATTTTACTCAGAATTCACTTTATTTATTTATCTATCTATTTAGTTAGTTATTAAAGTTGTAGATGGACAGAATGCCTTTATTTTGTTATTTTCATGTGGTGCTGAGGATCGAACCCAGTGCCTCACACATGCTAGGCAAGTACTCCGCCACTAAGCCATAACAGCAGCCCCATGGCTATGATTCTTTACACATGAAGAATCTGGACTTGACTTTTTCCTATCCTTCCAAAAAGGGGGAGTTGTATACACCAAACAAGGGGAAATAGCTATCAGGATTTAATTAGGTATTATTTCTTAGAAAAGAAACACTTATTTGTCTGTTTCCTTCTTTCTTCTTTTATTCCTTTGTTTCTTCTTCCTTTTAAACAAAATTTCTGTTTTTGATAATATTTCAGCAACCCAACTGGATTATGAAGAAAAAAACCCATAATGTTCCAAAAGCTCAAACCACAGGGTTAAGTAAGATTCCTGGGAAAGAAGTCAATTTCACTTAAAAAGCTCATTAATATTGTCACTCAAAAATATCCTTGGATCAGAGAATAATTCCATAAATCATCACTAGGTAGGCTCTAGTCTTGTTTGTTTACTTTAAATTACATTCATGAATACTGCATTATATATAAAGATAGGACAATAATACTCACTGAGAACACAATTAGGCAAAAAGCTTATTGATTATTTTACTTATTTGAACATTCACTAGGGGACAAAGCACTTGTTGGCACAAAACTCTTAAGGAGATATAATTTGTGTTTAATTATTCAAAATATTAATCCTCCTAAAACTTCAAAAGGCAAAGAATTCCAGTACTGTAAATATTTTCCTTAAGATATGTCCAAATCAGAATTCTGTTGAATGAAAACAAAACAGAACAAAACAAAATATAACACAACAGTAAAGTTGTATAATTCTTAACAGGCTATTTTTTTTTTTTGCTATTTTTAAATTTGTTCTAGTTATACACAACAGCAGAATGTATTTCAACTCACTGTACACAAATGGAGCACTACTTTTCATTTCTCTGGTTGTACATGATGCACTCACACCATTTGTACAATCATACATATAGCCAGGGTAATAACGTTAGTCTCATTCCACCATCTTTCCCACCCTGATCTCACTTAAAATTGCTAGCTAGATAAGATATAAATAAAAACCTTAGGAGATGAAAGTTCTTTTTGTAAAGCATTTTTTAAAATATTTATTTTTTAGTTTTAGGTGGATACAATATCTTTATTTTATTTTTATGTGGTGCTAAGGATTGAACCCAGTGCCTCATGCATACTAGGCAAGCATTCTACCACTAAGCTACAACCCCAGCCCTTGAAAAGCATTTTTAAAATTATAATATAAAAGATTATTTTAGCAAGATTATACTTTAAACGGGCAAAGGTATTTTAAAGAATGACAGATATGTGTGTATGTATGTATATGTCTGTGTGTATATATACATATACATACAAAACACTCTTTCTATAAAGAATGTTCTACTATCAAATACGTTGACATCAATGCATTGATATGAAAATATAGTCTTGCCTCTTTCTTTACTTCATACTTCTCATAAATCTCTATCTTACCCTCTGCCTTCTCCTGAAGTATGAATCTAAGATATTAGATAGGAATTATTTTTATATCACAATTTCAATATTCTCAATACACAAAGACAAAACATAGCACTATTCAAATCCAGGACATCTTTTAGGGTCATATTGTTCACACAATTATTAACACAGCTTATGAGCTTAGATTTTATATTTTAAAATTCTAGTTCACAAAAACTTAAAAAATTTTACATATTTCTTTTTTTTTTAATTAAACTGTTCTTTAATAATGCCATTCACTATTCATTTATCTGAATTATATAGGTGGCAATTCTTTAACTCTATTTTTTAAGAAAAGGGGCAAGATATCCAATTTTAAACTAAAGATTATAGCATAAATGCCAGGAAGTATAGTCCCTATGGCTTTCTGCTACAATGGCCATTACTAATCTAAGTCAGACAATATTGCTCAGCAGATCAAAACTCACTGCCCCCACCCTGTCCAATGTCACACCTAGTGAAAGTCAAACCCTTTCAGTGATCTACTCCCCTTTCAGATTTGCCCAGCTCCCACCTAGGGATCCATCCCCTTACCCACCATGTTCCTTCTCAACACAGCAGGCCTACTATGCCCCAGGGTAATGCAGCATGTCTGGAAAGCTTCCGGCCAGAGTCCCCATTGCTCACCCCATCCCTGCTTATTTTGTAATTTGTGCTCAAATATCATTTCTTCATAATGCCTTCACTGACTTCCCTATTTGACACTGGATCCTTCCCCAAGTCATGACATTCGATTTTAATTTCTCCTCAGCATTTAAGCAGTACCTTCTAACATACAGTATAATTAACTTCTCTAGAATGTACACTGGGAGAAGGTGAACATGTGCCTGTGTCCATCAACCTGACATCTATGTAAGCACATACTAGGTAACTCCATCAATTTACTGAGTGAATATATGAATGGATGACCCTGCTCTTCCCCAAATGCTAATTTTAGTCACTGATATATACCACTGTCCTAACCTCTAATCCTGTGAAGATTGGCATCATCCTGCTGCTTGTGCCTTTGGAATCTGCCTTTAATATTCTCTTTTTATTCCTACAATCATCTTCCTGGTTCAAGACCTCATTTCATCTGAATATTACATTAGGTTCTTAATTATTTTTCTCCATGCTTGAGGAATGCCATTAGATACTATAAGTCCCATCTTTTCAACATAAGTTCTCACAGCAGAGTATGAAATTTCTGCTTTAGTCATGATAAACCTCCTCACTGTCCTACACAGGCACATTTCCCCCATCTTTGCACATTTTGCTCTCACAACTTCTAGATGCCCTTCCTCTTATGTCTTGTTTATTTAATTCCACTAATTACTTAAAACTCAATTGAAGTCTATTATTTTCTATGAAGTTTTCCTACAGCTCTAGTACACAGATTTCCTTCTTTAAATTACTATATATTTAAACTCAATTCAGTCTAACACTTAATTTTTTGCTGACTGTTTTAGGTATGATTTTTTCCAGTCAAATTTAAAGCTTCTTAGAGGTGGAGGCTTGCTTGTTAGGCCCCAGGTGCCTGGCAGAGTGGAATGCTTGCTTAATAAAGAGGCACCTTGTACTTCTTACCAGAATATTTTTACGAGGCAAGTAACTCGCCCATCTTCGCACATTTATAAATAAATTTCAGAAAGGAGTTTATTTCTTTCATGAAGAAATTAAATTACAGCATTTAACTAAACTGAATGATGCTTTAGGCTACCGTGTGCCTTACTACTATTTTATAATAAAGTTTGAAAAGGAGCTCTTCTTTATCCAAGTAAATAAAATTACTGCTATCCCTGGTTAATGAGCACTCAACAATTCAATTATTTTCTGCTTTTTTTTTTTTTTTTTTGGTATCAGGTATTGAACCCAGGGATTGAGCCACATCTCAGCACTTCTTAAATATTTTATTTACAGACAGGGTCTCACTGAGTTGCTAAGTGCCTTGCTAAGTTGCTACGCCTGGCTTTGAACTCATAATCCTCCTGTCTCAGTCTCCCAAGCTGCTGAGATTACAGGTATGTGACACTGTGCCTGGCTATTTTCTTCTTTGCTAAGAACATACTTTAGTTTTTCAAACTTGGGGAACTAAACATATATAACATTTTGATTCTAAAAAATTACATTGTATACTCAGCGAGTAACTGACATAAAATTCGTACCTTTGTTAGTCCCTCATATTTTCCATAATCTGTACTCTTTAGCCACTCCATCAGCTTGGCATATCGAAGCAAGTCTCTATGAAATGGATGATGATTGGGTAAAGTCAGTTCAATAGAGTGCTGAGCAAGAGTTGAACTCTGATCATGACCCTGGCATGAACAAATAAAAATAAACATCAGTGACAGTGCAAAGAAACATTGTTAAAATTGAAAATTCTGAACAATGACCAAATGTGGCCAAGTAAAACAAATAGATCACAGAAAAACAGAAACCAAGTACTTACTAGTGTACTTTTATCATCCTGTGTTCATCAACTGAACATCACCAACATAAAATAATGATAAACATGCAAAAATGTTACTGACAAACCATTCATTCCATTTTTTAAAGAAGTTGAGAATGAATTAATTTTAATCAAGCTGTCTCTCTCACACTGTATGTTTACTAAGCAAATTAACTTCTTCATATAGACTGCATTAAGTAAATCACCAAGTAGGGAAGTTGGACAAAAAAGTAAAAAAACAAAACAAGCAAACAAACAAAAAACCCTGAACTGTCCACACTTATATCATTCCCATTAGAGTCCATAATATTTAAAACAATAGATAAAAACAAATAAGATGCAGAATTATATAATTCTTAATAACAATGGCAGAAAAGCATCACAAAACTGGATGAATTAATTGGAAAGGGCAACAGAAGTTCATAGTTTTCAAAGATGTTATATACAAGGTATATTATATACATCCACAATCCCTTTCTGTAATTCTAAAATCCAAAATTCAGTTTAAGTATGTTGAGAAAAAATATTTTGATGATAAAACTTGACCTGAATTAACATAGGATTAGTTATAATATTTAAAGTGGCCATTCATATTTTTTGACTACAGAATTATATGCTTGATGGAATGGTTATACAACATAATATACAATATGTTACCATATCACTTTTTACAAAATCTGAAAAATTCTAAAAACTGATTCCAAAAGGAAAAATAAACCTGTATGGATATTCTTTTCTGGATGGCTAAAATAATAACATCTTCCAATAGATCACTTATGTCGAAGAGCTATAGGGTTGAAAATGGCATAATTCTCTAAATTTGGAATATTTGAACACCTACATCTTTTCTGTGAAGTAAAAGCTAACAATAAACAAAATTAATAAATAATATTCAGGTATTATCATTGAACTATACTTTTATCTCTATAGTTGCCAAACAAGGTCAGTATAAACATTGTTTTACAGAAAAGTTTTTTTAAAAAAATATATTTAGTTGTTAATGAACCTTTATTTAACTAATTTATTTATATGTGGTCCTGAGAATCGAACCCAGTGCCTCACACATGCCAAGCAAGTGCTCTCCACTGATTTACAACTCTAGCCCTACAGGAAAGTTTTTTAATAGCTAATTCAAAAGGATGATCAAGATTCTACAGAATTTTTCTTAGTGACTCAAGGATCATTAATGTTCTTCTACAACTGTTTATTCAATCTATTAACATTAAATTATACTAGTTGGAGTCATATCATTTTCTTTCCTGGAAATAGAAGAATTAATTAACATCTGAAAAGGATTTTACAGTTTACAAAGCTCTTTCACATATATTATTATTCCAAGTTTTCTCAGTATTTTCACATTATGATCATCTGAAAAATTCACTTCTAATATGAATATAATTGCCTTCAAATCATTACTACTTAAATAGACTAGTGTTCACAAAAAAAGGATAGTTCCAAAATAACTATGGAAAATAAAAAAATAAATCTTAAATCATAACATATAGAAACTACACACGTAAAACTCTGATGTGTAAATAATTTTATTTTTTGTATATTTAAAAAGTTAAAGACATTCTTTAAATTTTCTTACTATAACTAATAATAAATTAGTAATAATTTATTGATTGCCCACTACCTTGCTAGGTTATCTATATGAAAATCTTGCAATGTATTTTTCTTCCCATTTATTTTTCTATTTCCATTTGATTTTATGTTTTGCAATTCTGGTGATTAGACTAAGTGCCTTATGTATGGTAGGCAAGAGTTCTACTTCTGAGCTACCCCCATTGCCCTATCCTTATTAAAAAATGCTAAAACTCTTTTATATATCATATTTTAAAACTAATCTAAGCCATACATTTTAATAAAAACTTTGTGAATTATAAATTTTCAGTAGTATACATATTACTAAAATTTGTCATTGAACACGTTACTATAGCCAAGCACCATTCTAAGTGTTGAACATAATAAACATATGCATCCTTATAATACCTAATGAGACAGAAATACTTATAACCATCACTAACATAAGACAATGAAAGCAGCACAAAGAGCTTAACTTGTTCCAGACTCACTTAGCTGTGAGGTAGTGGTGTCATGATTTGGAACCCAGGAAGTCTGGCTCTAATGACTGTACTCTTACGCACTCTGCTGTATTTACTTCCTATTGAATGATAAATTCAAATCAAATTTTGAGTAAATTTTCAAGATTTGGGAACTTTTTTTTTGTTTGTTTGACCTGTTTATTTTTATTTTCTTCCTTCCTTCATTTCTGGGGATTGAACCCAGGGGTGCTGTACTACTGAGCTACATCCCCAGTCTTTTTTATTTTTAAAAATTTTGATATAGGGTTTTACTAAGTTGCCCATGCTGACTTGAACTTGTGATGATTCTGCTTCAGCCTTCTGAGCAGTTCAATCATAATTCTTTCTAAGCTTTGAACCTAAGATCATCAGTTGGTTGTTTTGAAAAATGTGCTTAATGAACAGCTGGGTGTGGTGGCACATAGCTGTAATCCCAGCGTATTGGGAAGCTAAGACAGGAAGATCACAAGTTCAAAGCCAGCCTCAGCAATGGCAAGGCACTAAGCAACTCAGTGAGAGACCCTGTCTCAAAACAAATACAAAATAGGGCTGGGGATGTGGCTCAGGGGTCAAGTGCCTCTGAGTTCAATCCCTGGTCCCCCCCCCCAAAAAGAAAGGAAAAATATGTGCTTAATAAAACAATTTTTATGAAATCTGATTGAATATTGGTGATCTATAACACATCTATAACACACGAGGCAAGCACTTTATCAACTGAGCTATATCCCCATCCCTATTACACAGTTTTCTAAAAAAAAAAAAAAAGTTTTATAAATAGACATTGAAAGAAAAAATTTTAAACTTAAGTAAATAGCAAAAAATTACAACATCAATTTTTTTCTTGGTTGTTCTTTTAGTTCAGTGTATTTTAGTTAACTTTCATTTCCTCTAAGGTATCTGCATAATCAGTCTCATCATGTTGCTAAAGGCAAAGATATAGAATCATAAGGTCTCTGAAAACCAAGCGTGTATGTGTGTGAGTGGGAGTAGAACAGTTATGCTTTCAAATCTTTCAAAATCCATCCCAAGGATTTTCAAAAAGACATATTCTCCTGAATTTCATTAGCCTTAATTCACTGCCGACTTTTAGAAATATAATTTCTGTAACTGGTCTAATTCACCTTTCTAAATACTCAGATCTCTAGTATGCATAACAATTATGGGTAAGAGTCTGTCATTTTAATGGAAGCTGAGTTCATAATATTTAAAACATATTAAAGAAGCTAGATATCTGTTGAAAACATTACTCATAGTAGGAAGTGAATATGACATAAAGGTGCCTTTCGAGTTTCATTAGAGTGTAGTTTTGTGAGAGTATTAATAGGAAAGCTGTATCACAAACAGCATGCTCTGGATCAGTGATTCCCAAATGCAAGATGTTTTTATTAGCCTAAAGAAATAAGAAAAAAATAAAATGACATGAATGAGTTGGTAAATGTGTAAAAAAAAATTTTTTTAACACAATACCTTTATTTTACTTATTTATTTTCATATGGTGCTGAGGATCGAACCCAGGGCCTCAAACGTGCTAGGTAAGCATTCTACCGCTGAGCCACAACCCCAGCCCAAATGTGTTAAATTTTAAAGTCTGAAATTAAGTTCTTTCTATTCTTTTGGTGCCAAAATGTCATTTTAAAAATAAGGTGAGTCAAAGTAGGTGGCAGTAATTTATTTTTTTAAAGATCTTTACTAAATAAAATAAAAAACTGGTGACTTGGCTAGTCTCTAAATTTTATTTAATTTTACTGAATTATGAATTTTAAAAAGACCAGGAACCAAAGCCTTGACATTACTGTTGTGATCAACAGATTATTTCCACTGGATTCTTCTGTATATTTATATTTATAAATATTATAATTATACGTTTACTATGAATCCATTGCATGGATTCTGTTCAATTCCTATTTTATCTGTGATTCCATTCTGAACTCCTTAAATCCTCCATAAACTTCACTTTTGATTAAGCCTCTTTAGCACTTACAACCCACAGTTCTAGCCTTATGTACATCAGTCTTAATTTCTTATAAGCATCTTGAGGGCAGGAGCAATTACTTCTTCTGACACGTGAGTAGCAGCGAGTACATAATAGACTTACAATGAAAATTTGGTGATTGACAAAGAGATATACCATAATATGTTAATCAAGTTTTCACAGCTAGTTTGTCCCCCAATCAGGAATAAAAATTCACATATCATCAAAAACTTGCTAGGTGACCTGGTACGCTGAATTCAATGAATAGAAAAATCTCTTGCACTTGAGACATCCTCTTCCACCTTCCACCTTGCACATCCCAGGTTGTTGCAACATTCTGGTATTTAACATGCAACACTTACATATAACAATACATATTAGATTTTCAGAAATAGAAAGCATTCAATATAAACAAAGCTATTAGTTTACAAGGCAAAGAAGCAAAATCACAAATAAATGCATGTTATAACAAATAGTTAAGGATATAAAAAGGATTATAGTTTGTTGACTATAGATGTATTTTTGGTATCATCTACAAACATAAATAACATCATTGTCAATATTATCATTTTTAAAAACTAAGGAATCATGAAAATAGATGCTACTGGAATAATAAGAAAAATGTGAATTATTTCCTATGTGGCCTTTAAGTTTATTTTCTTCCTGACACTTTTCAGGTCAAACGAAATGTTGAGGGAGTCTGCTCTGATTTCCCCTTCTATGCTTGGTTAGGTGATCATCTGTATGCTCTCAGCACCACCATCACAGAATCTATCCTTCCTGCTTCCTTTCCTGAGACTGTGAGCTACACGAGGATGGTAGGATGAGTCTTTCGTCTATCCCAAGACAGTGTATGGTATGCATCTCAACCATCTGACAAATAACTACTATGTAAATGAAGGAGGTAGTGAGTGGGTGAAAGAATAACAAGAAGATAGGGAAGCAGAACAGATTAAATGCTTTTTTTGGCCAAAATAAACTCTGCTATATAACATTTAAAAACTTACAAATATAGTTAATGGGTAGCTTAAATCAGTAAGGTAAGTTATAAGCTACAAAGATGCTAAGTTTAGTAAACTTCATATATTTATAAAAATAAAAAAATCAGAGAAGCTTGAGCCAAATTTGATGTACTCACAGGAACCGAAAGAAAGTAGGACCTGTTATAGAGTTGAAGGAGGGCCTGAGTAAACTAATTGGAAATAAAATATAGTAAAGACAATTGTTTTAGAATATTGCAAAGTGGAAAAAAAGTCAAAATCTAATGATTTCAAACAGTCTTTCTTTTCTGGGGCTGAGTATAGACTCCAGGACCTTATGCATGTTAGGCAAGTACTCTACCACTGAGCTATAACCTCAGCCCCAGATGGCATTTCTCAATGAGTAAGGTTACCTTCTAACTTTTTCCACTCAATAACCCTAACAAAGTAAAAGGAATAAGAGACAAAAAAAAAATCATCTACTTTATTACACCAGATATTAAAATGGCTTTTATTCAAACCCCTTTAAGGTACTTTTAATATTATCAATATATCATTGCCATATCATTAATTATAACATCCCTTTTCATATAACAAGCCTATCATTTATATGAAGATTAAATCAACTGAAATTTACATTTGAGACAGTCTTTTTTTTTTTTTTTTAAATATGTGTACTATAGAACCTATGAAGAAACAGTTAAAATACTAAATCAAGTTGTGTTCCTCATCTCAAAACACTTAAAAATAAAACAGGTCCAATAGTCAACACATAACAACTTTAAATTTTTATAAGAAAGAATGCCTAAATGGTATATGCAATTAATAAACATAGTTATTTATCTGATTTCTAGAATCAGAGAGCTCCAGCTGAAAGGAACCAGATAATTTACGTAAAAGGGGCAACTGAAGCCCAAAGTATCTCTGTGAGAAAATAGGTACATATTTCAAAAATCAAATAAATGTACAAAGGAATATACTATAACATCAACTGAACACATCAAAACATTTTTTTTGTGGGAATTTAAGTTTAAGGTAATATAAGTAAACTATAGAAACATGCCAATTTTAATAATAAATTAAAATTACCTGTTGAACAAAAACATTGTTGAGGTGACTGGCCAGTCTCCGGGCAAAATACTCTCGCAAATCACTGAAATGCTGCTGCTGCTGTTTGACTGCCAGAAGCATGTCATGGCCTGAAATCAGAATAGCATTTCTTGACTGATTCAATAAGGTCAAAAGTATTTCCTCAGTTTAATGAAAACATTTCTTTTTTTTTTTTTTTTATTGGTCGTTCATAACATTACATAGTTCTTAATACATCATATTACACGGTTTGATTCAAGTGGATTATGAACTCCCGCTTTTACCCCGTATACAAATTGCTGTATCACATCAGTTACCCTTCCATTGATTGACATATTGCCTATGAAAACATTTCTAACAGTAGTCACATTTAAGTTTTGAAGAATCCAAAGTTTTACTAGCTTATTTATTTGCTCTATAAAAGGTAAGTAGGATTAAAAACAGCATAGCACAGTGGTCCTGCTTCAAATGTGGTTTCTAGGACTTCAGCCCAGATCTACTGAATCTGGGAGTGAGGCCTGTCCATCTGTCTTAATAAGCCCTCTAGGTGACTCTGATGGATATTCAAGTTTTAGAAGAAGAGCCTAGAAAAATTTTATGTTCTCTGGTATAATCAAGGCATCTATGTTGTGTTGTACTAAAGAAAGATCATGATGTTAACTAGCATCAATGGCGGTCAATAAGAAGGAATTGAAATGAAAAAGCTCCTATGGTCAATAGAAATACCTGGGGACATAAGTGAAACTTGTCTGAATAGCTAATATGTAAGCCTAAACTATTTGCCTATGTAATTTCTTGTCAAAATCTTTATATGAAGCTACCATCTTAGACTCAATTCTTAGTCAGATTTTATCATCTCTAGTGAACAAACCTGGTCGAAGAGCTACATTCATACATTGCAGAAGGGCATCAGCAGCATTGGTGCAGGCCTCAATGCCTCTGGAAGAAGCAAGATCCCCTTCCTGAAGAGCCTTTATATGACCTTTGGCCAAGTCCATATGGTTCTGAAATACATGCAAACATACCCCTTACACATAATTTTTGGAAATTTATAGGCAAGATGCCACTCAATCCTATTACTAGGTCTTTGGAATTCTTTTAAATCCTGCTATCATAAGGAAATTAGAAAATGTTTACAGATGGATTTTAGATACTGTCACTAGTCTTTGTTTTTATTGGTAATTTATAACAACACCTACCACAAGGAACTCTATCTCTAATAGGAGTTTCACATTATTAGTGTTACTAAGATGAATTAGGTGATTGCTTTCAGAGATCTGATCCATTTGTTCTTTTACACTTTGGAGCATTTCCTCGTAACTGCTCAGTTTCAATTCAATCTGATCCACTTCCTTTAGAGCTTCATCTAGCAACTTCATTAGGATGTTCACTTGTTTCTCAGAGGCCATGATGGACTGGATGTTGGCCTACAAAGTGAAAGACAAAAGTAAAAGTTCATGTTACTCAAATGTATAAAAGATATATAATATTGTTAAATCTTTTTGAAAGTAGAATAACAAAAATTGCTATACATCTACCCTAGTTTAGTTTATCACTTTATGTTTTACTTTTTATACAAACAGTTCATGTAGGTATACCTGACATCATGCCTCTATATTCTGTATTTCCAGAGAGTGAACAGGAAGAGTTTGTGTCATTAGTAAAGGCACATCCTCTTTTCTGTAAATTTAATGCCATTATGATATGTCATCTTTAACATTTCTTTCACCAGCTACAGAAATGTTCTATACTTCTTAAGATCTATGTACAGCCCTAAATAAGACCAAAATCACCTAAATAATATCTTAGATGAGAGGGGCGTAATGTCACAAAGTCTCTGAAGGATATGGGGAACTAACTTATAGCTGCAGGATGACTAGTCCTCACAGGATATGGAAGAGTATATAGAAAAAAGCTAGCTCCTCCTATCATTTTTTTTTCTTTTCTCTTGCAACTATATTCCATCAAGCAAAGCAGTTATAAAACCACTATCCCCTTATCACTGTTTTCTAAATGTTCTGCCTATTGATTCTAAATTCTCTAAAGTAAGGAAGCTGCCAAATTTAAAATTAAGCTGCTAATATGACTTAGAACATATATCCAATAAAAATTAGAAAATATAAATCACTAAACCATAGTAAGGCAAGTAACATGGTATGATGAAAAACCTGGACAAGGAAATAAAAGAAAAATCATATAGTCAATGCTATGATTTCATACATTTTATTTTATATACTGTTCACAATAACTCAACTGTAAGTACAGCCCCACAAGTACAACCACAGTCAGTGTGGCTCAGAACACACTGATGTCTTTCAGAGCCATGGTTTGATTCATCCTAGGACCAATTCCACTTTAATATCTTGAAATCTCTTCTAGGTTTTGCTTCCAGTGAGTTTTGCAAACTAGTAAACTTAGACTGTTTAGTTATTTCTCTGGATCTGAGTTAGATCCCACGATTTCTATACCTTTCATGTATAAAGAATTCAAACTTTTTAAGTCTTTAAAATAGTTCTTATTCCCTCAGAAATTTCTTAATGGTGTAATTTTTCTTAAAAATAAAACAAAACAAAAAACCCCCACATGATTTGTTTTATTCTGACATATGTGGTGCTTTGCATTTAGATTACAAACTCAAAAAATGGTGCTTATAAAAGGTTCTATTTTAAAACATTTTAGTGGACAGATTTCCTAGCTGTCTTGTTTCCTCCACACTTATTCTGTTCCCTTTTGGTAAATGATTCACTTATTTCAGCCGCATTTCTCTTACTTTAATTTGCACTTATTTTTTTCCCCAAACCACAAAAATGCTGTTCTTCGCTAGTGAACTATTCTGAGGTGTTTCAGAGGCTGGGGGAAACAACCTCTAAGATGGTTTCTGGTTGTCTACCTTCTTCTTCCCTTATTTCATATCAAAATTCAGAACCTCAGCTACTGCCTTCATTGGCTTATTAGGAATGGTTCTATCTTTTGAACAAGAACAGTGAAAGACTGATAGCAACTTGTATTGTGCTTATAGAGAAGGACAGCAATAATCACCCTGGAAAAGTTGAAGTGCTAAGGCAGTAAAATATGAACATCACTGTCTTCTCAATGTACGACACATCACTTATTCATAGATTACAAGAAAGTCTTACCCCATCTAGCACCTGTAGCTCTCGAGACAACTTTTCTGCAAAGGCCTCAGCATTAGAGATTGCATACTCACAGCCTTCCATCATTATTTCAATATCTTGCTCTTCTCTTGCATTTAATTCTTGGTATTCATCTACTGCTTCTTCATCTCCTCCTGTCACACTCTGATTTTCTCCACTTGGAACAGATTCTTAAAGAAGGCAAATATTCAAAATAAAGTAGTAAAAAACTAGGAAGGATTAAATATGGTACTTATAGCTAGCTATGATCAGTTATAAGCATAGGTCACATTTAGTGGCTGAAAAACAGGAAAGAATGATTCAAAATATATGAAAAAAAACCCCTAAAATTTTACTTTTATATATATAGGAATACATATGTTAATGAAATAAAGTCCTAAAAAATAACAAAAAGCATGCAGTCTAATACACTGACTTATAAGTGTTAAAATAGGCTTTAGTTATAAATTCCCCAAACACAAACTAAAATACAAACAAAACACAAAAACATGAAGAAATGCACCTAATCTTTTTTCCTACCTGAGGTGGATGGTGCTCTAACAAAACAATGATTATGAATTCAGTACACATGAAAATAATTTGTTTTCCTTTTTTCACCAAGTAACATTTTCTTTTGTTTTTGTTCATCTTTGTTATATGTGTATGTGTGTGCATATGTGTGTGTGTGTGTGTGTGTGTGTATTTTTTCTTTCAAACAACTTAACTGAGATGAAAGATGCCTCTATAATAATTTATTTTGGATACTGAATATATTAACTAAATTTCTATATTTTTGCTTAAAAATTTCACATGTATTAAAAAAATAGATAAAGATGAGCTATAGAAACTTTCTTGGTGACTCTAATGTAAGAGGTAAGAATAGCACAGTGGTTTGAAATTACAAAAAATGTAAAAGATCTTCATGCTTCATAACAAAAGACCAAGAGGTCAAATCTGAAGTGCTTTTTGAATAAATGTTTCAGTCCATTTTTTTTTCAAAGAACACACTTAGCATATGGATATTTTACATAAAACTTGAGGTTAGGAGATAAAATGAAGAAATCATTTTTAACCCTATGAGGTTATTTTACAACTTTAAATAAAATTACTGATTTTCTAGGCTTAATGGAATATGACTTAAATCAAACTCTGTATGCTTTTAGTCTTCATTATTTAACGTGAAAAAAGTGTTTACATTCAGCCTGACTTGACATATATTATTGTCCCAAAATAAAACCAGATAATTTAAAACAAAAAGGATTTACTCTGAAGAATGGTAACAAATTGCCCAGATTTAGTTACAATCTCAGAAAAAAAAAATAGGACCAAATGTTTTGTACAAGCAATTATAATGACTATAATATTACAGCATATACATATGAGAGGCATCAACAAGTTCCCTATCCTTTCTATGAGGTCATTTTAGTTCACTGTAGAAATTTTAACACTGTCAGGTATGAATGCTTGTTAGCCACTAGAGGGCAGGGATTGCTCAAATCCTTCTGTACAGTTCCTTACACAAGTACATGTTTCAAGTAAACAAATATTTTAAATTATTATGATAAAGGTTTCAGAAGTATTTTTCTCCCCTGAAACAGTTCTTTGGAGGCCAATAATGAATACCACTATTAATTTTATTACTATGTGGATTTTTTAATAAATTTACCCTATTACACAACTTCATAAAATATGCAACTGACAGTACATAACAATGGCAAGTAATTAAAACATATGAAATAGAATAAGAAGAAAGGTGTTACGCACCTTCTGTAACTTTAGGCAGTTCTGGAGAATAAAAAGGTATGAAAGAAGCAGAAGAAAGTAAGCAAAGAGTATTAGCTGGGTAGAAAGTATACAAACTTAAAATTGTAAAATACTACCCAAATTTCATTTGAATTTCAAGTTAAATTAAGGTTCAAAAGACAATATTAAAATTAACTACAAAGTGGAAAATTTCCATAAGCAGCTAAATTTCCAGGATTCATTTTTCTTATTCATTTTGGGACAATGATTAAAAATGTATTTATCTTTCTATTTCCTTTTAGTCTTTTAAGAAACAGTACTAACTAGTCCTTAAAGGAGAAAACTGGGAAACAGAACATTTCCTGGGGATTATTTTTAGGTCAGTTGTGACTCACGCATTTAGTGTAGTTATTTTCACTCAAGGCCCAAGTCTTTACCCAGACACTCCCTCAAAAAGGATTAGTCACAAAACACTGTTAGGAGAGACAAGACTGAGGCAAGTGCAAAAACATGAGATATCAGTTCAAGCTGACATTTAAGGATTTGAGTCAAAGATTATTTCAAAATCTGGCTGCAAGGAAAAGACTGAAAAAAGAAAACGCCAAATAAACTTCACTCTACTTCACCCACTAAGAAATTCCCCTTTTTAAAAGAACCTTACTTTGACTTAAACATTTAACTGTTACTGATAAAAACTACCAAGTTACCACCACTAGTATTAGCAATTAGAACAGTCTTACTTATTTAGTTTGTCAAAGGAGGTAGTAATAATTTTTTATTTGTCTTCTAACCTTTCCCAAACCTTAAAGACACTTTTATAAAATGGGAACTGGGCTGGGGATATAGTCCTTGCCTATCATGAGTGAGGCCCTTGGTTTGACCCTCAAAAATCACCAAAAAAAAAAAAAAAAAAAAGAATAAAATTTTAAAATAATAAATTAAAATGTGAATTAATAGCTAAGATTTCAAAGTCCATTAAGTCAGGTTTTTAGTCATTAATAAAGCTATTCTCTGAACACTAAAGCAAAGCAACCATTATTAATCATAGTGAGAACCTAAAGGATCTTCTCAGTATCTTAAAAACTGACCTCAATTAGAGTTAATGTTTGTAAACACAAAAATGTCTACACTTTTGTTTTATGCCCGAAAGTTTAAATACTTTTTTTTTCTCTGTAAGTTAGAAACTTGATTCTCAAAAACAGTAATACTCTTCTCATTGCTTTTGGTAGTACTTCTTAATGAGTTAAATCAGCACAATATGTGTTTTTCCACCTGGTTGTTTTAATGAAATATATGGGTTTAAAATATTTAGTAGGCAACAAATTTGAAAATAGAATTCAAGCTTGTCAATGAATAATTGACAATAATTGTCAATGAATAACTCAGAACAATGTTTAATCCTGAAATGGGAAAAAAAATAAAAGCCTTTTGAAGTAAATTAATGTCCAATTTAAGGTATAAAAAATTATCATAAATTTCTGGAAGGTCATTTCCTTAACACGTGTAACTGCCAAGACACTGGGGTCTAATACTGGTGAGATGGTAACCTCAGGGAATCCTACTGAAGGCCAGCTCCTCTGGGAAGAGCAGCTATAGGGTCTGACAGATGACACTTGCCTCTGCCAGTTCTAAGCATCTGCCTAAACCAGCAGCAGTTCACCAATTAAATGCTGGGAAAGAATACTATAGTCAAGAAGGGAAAAGGTCTATCATCAAACAGAATTAAAAAAAAAAAAAGAAGTAAAACAAAACCAAAGCGACAGAGGCAAATGACTAAATACAGGAAGAGTTTTTTTTACACTACATATTAAAATTGTTCAATATTGGTAATTTCAGATGTTTCAACCTTTCTGAAAGAAAAGAAACTTCTACTATTAAATATTAACTTGCAATTTGGGACAAATCTCATTTTTCCTTCTAATATATAACTTAGGACAAATCTTTTTTTCCCTCAATAAAGAGGAGCAACAACTCTATTTTCTTGCATAGTAGCTATTATTTCAACTGTTTTCTTTGAGATAAAAAATACAATATTTGGGCTGGGGATGTGGCTCAAGCGGTAGCGCGCTCGCCTGGCATGCATGCAGCCTGGGTTCGATCCTCAGCACCACATACAAACAAAGATGTTGTGTCTGCCGAAAACTAAAAAAAAATAAATATTAAAATTCTCTCTCTCTCTCTTAAAAAAAAATACAATATGAATTGCATCCACAAGGCCTTTAGAATCATTTTCTTATGTTTATGCCTTTATGAAAGAAAATTTCAAAGTATAAAATTTTACTGTACATTTTCAATTTTAACAGTAGTTTTTGTCCACCCTTCCTGAAGACAGACTGATCAAAAATAACCCAAATTAACTTCATATCTAAGGATTTTATGCTGATAATAGATTAATAGCTAATATTTGTTAAGCATTTACTATATACCTGGCACTGTTCTCCTCATGTTTATGATTTAAGAAATTTTATCCTAGCAGTGAGTATCTCTATTTCTATTATAAGAGACACTGAAACAAGAGATTAAGTAACTATAAAGGCATATAGTAGGTAGTAAAGCCAGAATTTGAACCCAGGCAGTATGACTCCACAGTTGAATTCTTAACTACTACACCTATACTCTGTACAAAAATAATGCCACAAGAATATTTATCCTGGAACTGCTTAAAAAAGTAAAAAAAATGGGAAACTAAAAATAAATGATTAGTTAAAAATATTATGGTATATTCATAGAACACTATTAAAAATGATGGGGTAAATATTTAATAATGTAAAAAAATGTTCATGATACATTATTATATGAAAAAATTAGAAAACAATGTAAATTTATTTTTTAAAAATTATTTATATATGCATACATAAAAGACCAGAATAATATCTACCAAAATGTTAACAGTAATTATCTCTGAGGAGTAAGTTTACAAGTGATTTTTATTATTTTAATTTAATGTATCAATATCCTACAATGAATAAGGCACCATTTCTTCAATAAGAAGTTATTCTAAAACTCCTTTGAAAGGTAATTCAGTATTCTAATTGCTGTGAGTAGTATAAAATTATATAGTCACTTAAAGATACGCTTGAATTTATACATACATTCTTATTTAACTTTACCTTCCAAAAGCTGTGAGCTAACATTGACAAAATCGATTTTCTTCCGGAGATATCGCTGATTCAATTTCCAAATGCATGAGATAAATGCATTCTTTTCAGCAGTGCTGCTGGCAACCCATTTATATACTTTTTCAAAATGTAAATCAAATTCAGGATTTTCCTGAAATGAAAATATACAAAAAAGTAGTTTTTGATCAGATTCCTTTTCATTATTAATGTAAAATCTTTATATTAAAAAAGAACTAAAGCTGTTCTTGGGGTGGGGAGACAACTCAGTGGCAGAACACTTGCTTAGTATGGGCAGAGCTCTGGATTCAATGCCTGGTACTTTAAAAACAAAACAGAACAACAACAAATTAGCTAAGTAATTTGAAGATAAGGCTTCCAAGAATTCGACTTATAGTAAAAACTTTATCACCCCAAAATGGCTAGATAAAAAACAAAACACACCTGTTGGGGTCATTTTCTTTCTATGCCCTGCAGGTCTGTGAGTGGAAGTACAGGTTGTATACTTCAAGGCTTTGTGTTTCAGCTTCCTTGTCAATAAGATAACAATGGTCTCTAGTTTTGATGTGGATGTAATTTTTTTTTTAAGAATTGCCATGAAATTTTAGAGTTACATCTTTGATAATGTATTATTATTCATAAGTGTAATTTAACACTAACTCCCTATTAAGGAATACATTTTCTAATTATAACACATGAGGAAGAAATACAACCTACACCCTGGTGTGCTTTTCAAGAACAAATGAGACAAACACAGAATGATTACTGGTGTCTCAAAACCCAAAAATGCTGTCAAGATTTAAGGTTCTTTCAAGTCACAAAAAACCTCAACTAATCTGAGAAAACTGCATCATGCTTTCTACATGTCTATTAAGCCACATTTGAGCAATAATTTCATGTCAGGCTAATACTTCTTCCTTAATTGTAGAAGTACTTAAACCATTAGATAATAACCAAAAATGTATGAGTGTACACTTTCCTTCACTTCCAAGGAATTAAATAAGTTCAAATGCTCTACAAGGTACATTGCATTTATTTAAAGCATAATGTAAGGGGAACTAAATGTGAATACAATACCTAAAAAGCAAGAAAATTCATATGAGAATTACTTTGAAGAGTTGGGTTATTTTAGGGATCAGGACATGACCTTTGGTACAACAATTTTAACAGTAATGTAGAACTTCTAATTAGCTCAACTTATAGCTTAGAAGAATTGAAGCATCAAAAAAATTAAAACCTTCCTTTATAGCTAATTACGTTATTACTTAAAAAAAAATCTAAGAGTATTGGCAGCTAACATGAACTTGATGGGAAATGATCTCTTCCCTGGGAATACTTCCCATAATGCCATAAAAGAAGCTGAGTGCTCCAGTGGCAACATTCACACAAATCAATGTGTGATACTAAATGGCTAATGTTAGGCTATGTATAAAAATTTTATGTTTTCTATCCATATATAGTGTACATACACCAAGGTGTCTACATAAAATGAAAAAACATCCATTAAGCAGTCAGAAAAGAGGCATCAGCTTTAAGAAAGCATTCAAATAGGCACTCAGCAATGTTAGTGATTTATGCAAGTCAACAGGGTCATGAAGTGAAAAACTAGTGAAGAGAAAAAAGCTTTTTAATCAAGATGCATTTCTAATAAGCCCTTAAAATATTCTCTCTTAAACAGAAACCTACTCAAAAATCTCGATTCCTCCACATATTAACAAATTATTTACTGAAGTTGGTTAAAAATTTCATTTCTTGTTTTCTTTCTAAACATACAAAATTCTCTTTCTGTTAGAGCTTGTAAAACTGTTTCCACATTTCACATTTATTGAAAAACTGGGTACTCTTCAGGGATAAATAAGATTACTTAAAATACTTAAAAGGCATTCATTATCTGTATTAGAAGCAGTCTGAATCTCACGGATAGGCAGGGCTCTCCTAAAATTGTTTTGCTTCCTTTTTTTTTTTTTTTCATCTAACTCAACTACCTGTTGTTTCGTTTGGCTCTTTGATCTTCAGAGATTTATGTCAAGGTAAGAATAAAACCAGAATTTTATTTTACCAGAGTGCTTTTCAAAGGTCATTTTTAACTTCTTTTTGCCTTTTTAATAAATGTATGAGATATACAGAGTTAAATCAAAGAATGCCTGTAGTTGCATTAGTATAAGCCTTGCTATTAATGCCATCAAGAGCACAAGTGGATGTGATCCAAAGTATTCTCTAGTGCTTTGGAGGTGTTTCTGATCTGCAGAAGAAGAGAAAGAGGAGGAGAAGGTGGAAGAGGAACAGGAGGAGGCCACACCTAATTGAATCAGAGGAGCTCTATAGTTTCTACTGTTGTGCAAGGCTGTGAAAAGCCTTGAATTTCCAGGGACTACAAGAGGTCGTTTAATGTGACTATCACATTAAGTCATCAGATTTATATTCTTTTAAATCTCAATATTTAAGTTCCTTACGATACTCATAATCACTTCTTTTATTTGAATAAGAAACATCAAAGTCATGCCCTCCAAAGACCAACTTGGCTACTTGGCTGGTGATTCTACATGAACTCATGAGGACACACTTTGGTTATATCAGACTTGATCTGGAACTAGGTTTTTAAAAACAATGAAGATTAAAAAAAAAAAAGAACTCATATGACATACTGCTTCAAAACCCACACTAATTTACAGATTTTATACTTTACTTACCTAAAATAGAAATATATGGAGTCAAGGTTATTTTGCTCTAGTTTATGTATCTTATGCACAAACATGATTTTCATTCCAAAAAAGCAACAATTATAAAACAAACATACATGTTTCATTCCAAGTAGCCTCAGAGTGGGGGGTAAGGAGGCAAAAGGTTGAACAATACATCTTAGACTATTTCTTAGGTGGTCACAAATCAGCAAGTTTAGATCATCTTTGTATACATAATATTATAATATAAAATCAAAGACACTTCTGAACACAGGTCAAAGAACAGAAAAACATACTTTGATAGCATCTTTGGCATCTACGACAGCAAGGTCTCGAAGAGCCCAAGCAATCTGCCTTTTGTAGAAATCTCCCTTATCAGATTTCTTGACTTTGACCACTTTTACCTGCACAGGGCGTTCAGTTGTCACTGTTGAGCAAAATACATAACTTTTGTTAGAAATATCCTTCACTTGCTCAATCTTCATCATTCATTCACTCTTGTAAACATAGTTTTCAGGTGCTTGGTACATAATATTAAAACACGTGCAATGTTTTAAAAGTAGAGACTGAGGAATGTAGAATCCTAAAGAAAGCATTTAAATCAGACCAGAGGGTCAGAGGCAGATGCCTTGAGAAAGAAAGTTTTAGATCAGTTTTATGCCTTTTTTTTTTTTTTTTTTTGGCAGTGCTGGGGATTGAACCCAGGGCCTTGTGCATGCGCAAGGCAGGCACTCTACCATTTGGGCTATATCCACAGCCCAGATCAGTTTTAAAATCTAAAGAATGACTGATATATGTAAATCCCAAGAGGCTTGGAAGAGAATAATTGCTTCAAAGTGGCACAATAAATTGTTCAATATAGGTAGTATGTGTAATAAGGTGGAGAGAAATGACGTTACTACAAAAGATGGGAGTTCAGATCATAAAAGGTCTTTATATGAAGTTGTGGGGTGCTGTTTAAGAACTGTGGCTAAGGAAATAACATTACACTGTCAACAGAATGGGGAGTGATTGGAATGAATGTCAATACATATAAAAAAGTAAGTGGTTTCCTCCAAAACTCCCCCAATTTCCCTTAAAAATGGAACATATCAAAACTGACTCAAGAATAGAAAATATGGAAAATGTGTATTCATTAAAGCAATTGCTTTGCTAAGTATAAATCTTCCCTCATCCTCTGCCCCCGCCAAAACTAGTACAACAATTTTACTGGTGTCTTTTGCCACATTTTTAAGGAATGAACAATTCCAAACACACACAACTAATAAGTGTGAGAAAACAAGGAAATGCTTCCCAATTTATTTTATAACTTTAGTTACAAAGTCAGACAAAGACAGTGAAGGAAATTATGACCATGTAACAAATCAACATGAATGCAAAATCTTAAATACTGTATTAAAAAAGTATATTTACAAAATATATTTCATTTCATCAAATCTAAGATGTACCCTTTTCACATTTAAAATGTGTAAAATCAGGGCAAATATTAACAGTAAATGCAATATCATTCTTTTTTCCCCTTCCTCTCTCTCTCCCTCCCTCCCTCTCTCTCTTTCATCCTCCCTCTCTCCCTTCCTTCAGCTCTGAATCAAACCTAAGCCTGGCAAACATTCTACCAGTGAGTTATACCCCTAGCCCCTATTTACTAGTATATAAAATAATAATATATGCAAATAGTACATTATGACTGAGTTTGGTTATTCTGAGAAACCAATTTGTCATTTGAAAATCCAAATTTAATTATTCACCACATTAATAAATTTAGGGAGAAAATTATCTGATAACTTCAACAATGTGAAAATGCAACTGATAAAATTTAATCCCCATTTATGATTTATAAAAAGATAAAGAAGTAGGAAAAAAGTGTAAGAAGCCAGGAATAGATGAGAATGTTCTTAATATCATAAGGGATACCTATAAAAACTTATCGCAACATCATACTGAATATGAAATCATTCCCTTGAGATCAAGACTGTACTGACAGTCCTAACTAGCAGACTAAAGTAACAAAAATAATGAAAGATATAGGGACTATGAAGGAAGGAAAATATGCTACTTTCAGAGTCTATAAATTATTACAATTAATAATAATAATGTTCAGCAAGATTGATATCGTATTTTAAAAAACAACTCATATGTGTTTTTTAAAAATGTACTAATTCTGGACTGGGGATGTGGCTCAAGCGGTAATGCACTTGCCTGGCATGCGCAGGGCGCTGGGTTCGATCCTCAGCACCACATAAAATAAAGATGTTGTGTCCACCGAAAACTGAAAATATTAAAAAATTCTCTCTCTCTCTCTAAAAAATAAATAAATAAATAAAAATAATAATGTACTAATTCTAATAAGGACTATTCTCATAGTAATATCAAAAAAATCTAATCCTACATAATTACATAATGCAAAGCCTTTAGAGAGAACTATGAAATTTAGGAAAAGGCATTATAAAAGACCTAGATAAGTGAAGAACTGCTCCAAGTCTAGGGATGTGAATATTTAGTATCATAAGGAATGTAGGTTCTCTTCAAATTGAACCAAAACAATTCCAATCAAAATCCCAATGAAATCTAGAACTTCTAAAGGTAGGTAAAAGAGTGAGAAGAAAAAAATCAATATAAAACAAAAGCAAAACATAATAAAGAACTCAGAAACAGACACAAACACACATAGACCAGAATGCAGACACAGGTAAACCAAAGACAAAAATGTGAAAGGCAAAATTATACAACTTTTTAATAAAGAAAATTTTTATGAGTACATAAAAGATATCTGGGAAGAATATTTTAAATAAGATACCAAAAAGGAAAGCCATAAAGGATCAGATTGATTTACTTTAATTACTTAGAATTATAAATTTCATTAAAAGCCATCATAAAAAGTGAAAGCCATATACTGGGTTGAATATAACTGACAAAGGATTAATATTCAGACAATATAAAGAATTTGTACATATCACTAAAAGGACAATCAACACAATAGAAAAATAAATTAAGGCTTATATAGGTAAATTTCATAGACAAGGAAACTAAATGATTAACAAATTAATAAAAAGATGCTCAATCTGATATTCATTAGGGGAACTCCATTTAAAAATCTTAATGAGACACTATTTTACTCCCATTGGATTGACAATAATTATCAGTCTGATAGAATCAACTGTTCATTAGGATGTAGAAAACACATACCCACTGCTGATGGGTGTGAAAATTAAAACTACTTTTGAAAATACTTTGGTATTAGAGCAGAATTGGTTACTCATATACCTATGATTCAGCAATGCCTCCTGTTAAGAATCTACCTTAAATTTTTCTTTTTTGCTTGTATATACTAGGAGATAAAAACAAACACACTCATCCAAGTGCTGTCTGAGTTGCAAAACCTAGAAACAAACTCAACCTTCGTCACTGTTAGAATGGATAGGTGAACTGTGGGACACCTACATAGTACAATAATCCAGAGCAATAAACATGAAGTAATATGACTATATGAAAGAACAAAAGAAAAACTCATGAAAAATGGACTCAAGTTGAGTGGGGAAAAAAAAACACAAAGTATATATGCACTATAATTCGATTTATATAAAGTTCAAAGAGATGAAAAACTATAATGTCTGAAATTTAAAATATATATGGTAACATGATAAAGAAAAAGTAAACAAAATTCAAGATACCAGTTACCTCTTAATGGAGAGGGGAAGGGAATGGGGTCAAGGAGGGTCATGCATGATGCTTCAAAAGTAATGTTACAGGTTTTTATAGGACCCAAGTGTTCTATGAATAAGCTGTCTTTATGCCTTATGTATATATTATAAAAATTTTTAAAATATTTGCTCAATATTTAACAAAAAACTAATTTATTGGTCCTCCAATTTTTTTCCAATTTTAAAGACAATGAGAATATTTTTTAAAAGAAAGAAAACATTCCCCTAAGAAATAAAAGAATGCCAAACAAATACTTTTTCTTATGAAATACCCACCTGTGGCACACAGAAAACAGTTCTTTTTCTTTTTTCCTGCTTTGCAGACATTCACAATACTCAGCAGGCGTTCATCATTTGGTGTAAAAATATCTCTTTGTAATGCGTGTTTGATTGCTGTCATCTTTTCTCAGCTGAAAATTCAGAGTGTAGATATTTAGCTCACTCTCAAAATCATTCCACCTTATTATTCCATTTATGATCTAAAAATGATCTAATTTTGGTTAATAAGTATAGAAAAATGATATATTAATGCATCAGCATCATAAAAACATAAAGCTGTAAGTGTGAAAATGAAATTAGAGAATAAGTGTTAGCAAACTCTAACATCTTTAGAAATGCTCACCAAGTATTGTTATCTCTCCTTTCACCCCTCTCATAGAGATTTATTAAAAAAAAATCATGCTCAGTCTTTACATACAGTCTCCTATATAAAGAACACTTAAAACTCAACAATAAAGAGACAAATAACTAATTAAAAACTTAATAAACATGTCTTCAAATTAGGTACACAAATAGCCAATAAGTACCTGAAAAGATGTTCAACATCATTCACCACTAGGGAAACACAATGAAAAACCTAGTACTCAACATCCACTAGTCTAGCTAAAATCAAAACTACAGACAATAAAGATCTGGAGAAAATAAAATTCTCAGGCATTGCTGGTGGGATTGTTAAATGGTGTGTCTCCTTTGGAAAATGGTTTGGCAGTTCCTCAACAAGTTAAACATGGTTTACAATGTGATTCAAAATTCCACTCCCAAGAGAAATGAAAAAAAAAAAAAAAAAAACATTTCCAGGGCTGGGGTTGTGGCTCAGTGGCAGAGCACTTGCTTTGCATGTGAGACACTGGGTTCAATCCTCAGCACCACATAAAAAAATAAACAAAGATATTGTGTCCAGGTATAACTAAAAAAAAAAAAAAATTCAAATATTTCCATACAAAACTTGTACATTAGTGTTCACAGCAGCATGATAGTCTTCCTTCAGTATCTGTGGGACATTGATTCCAGGACCCCTTGAAGATACCCAGATATACAGTTCCTCAAGTCCTTTGCATTAAATAGCATAGTATCTGCATAAACTACAAAATTTAAATAATCTCTAGACTACTTGTAATACCTAATACAATGTAAATGCTATGCACTTGTTACACTATATTGTTTTGGAAATAATTTCAAGTATGTACACGTTCAGTATATTTTATAAATGTTTAACAAATTAACTAACATGATAGCACTAAGTAACAACAACTGAGGCTCCCTCAAGACTCCCATATTCCAACTTCCACATCTGTAAGCAAATACCCAGGTTCAAAATCTGTCATATTTTATTTCCTTCTCCATTGTCAACATGGCATTTGCAGTGAGATCACATTTTGTGATTTCCTACATTTACATATAATTTCTTTCTTTTTGTTTCCACTTCCAATATTACCAAGGTTCATATGAACTTTATAGAGTGCACCTGGTTATCTCTTTGCAAACTGTTATAATCCTAAAAAACAAATAATCTTAAAACATACTTTTCATCATATCATAACCTCGCTCAACATTCTTTTAACGCTCCAAAAAACAAAACTTCCACTTAAAGTACTCTGTTCATTTTGCTTAGGCACATTTCCATGCAGGAAATATCTCCTCCCTATCCAAACTCTAATTACATTTCATGGTTTATATGAAGTTAATTCAATAAAGACTTTAATCCAAATTGACCTCATCTCTAAATTTCTATAGCACTTATTGCATTTACTGAATAATCAAGCACTTATTGTCTACTTGGCTCATGTGAGCATAAGCTCCTGGATCTTGGGAGCCCTATTAACAGAGTAAGAGAGTGTAGAGAAGGACAGGAGGGAGGGCAGGGAGGCTGTATCACTTTTGTGTTCTTGATAAGTACTTAACAGATATTTCTTGAGGAAATCTGAGCTGAACAGTAAAAAATGGTCAAATCAGTGACTAATCAATGACTAATAATGGCCAGTGTTTACCACACAGTCTCTCCTTAGTCTAAAGCAATGATTGGGTGCATGGTAACTGGTAAAAAGAGAAGACTGGGCATACCTCATAAAAGAGGCAGTCATAGTGAAAAGCTGTATGTGACCATTCGTTCATTCAGCAAATACTGATGTCTACTAAGTACCAGGTGCTAGTCTATTACAGTGGTGAACATGACAAACATGTTCTCGAAGACACCAAGACCTCTACTTACATGGAATTTACATCCTATAGGTCCAGTAATGATCTCTCCAGTTTTTACAGTACCTTTCTGTATGTCAGTAAACAAATCACTAGCGATCATATAAATCTATTTTACAGGTCTAAAACCCCAAGTTTGACCATGTGTCAGAGACAGCAAGCCACTGTTGGTTCTTGCTTCCTTAAACTCAGCTGGGCCATTACACTGCATGACAATTAGTTGGTCAGAGTGAGGCCATGTGGGTTGAGCCTCGAATGCTGTTGAGACAATTAAGGGCAGGGAGCACCATCATCTAGTAGACAAAACTGCCTAGAGACAGGGACACACGCTTAAGAGATTTCGAAGAACATGTTCCTTAGGACAAAGGAGAAGACACTGTCACGCCCTTCTCTCCTAGTCCACGCCAAAGAGCGTAACTACGGTAAGGACTGTTTGTCAAATATGAAATATGGATCCGATGGGCGGAACCGCAGAGGAACTTAAGAGGACTGTCCTCCCAGCTCCGCATTCGCCCAGCAAGGGGTGGAGGATGCTCCCACTGGGCTTTGCTCCTTATACATCAGGCGGGGTTGGGAAGAGGCCTGGCCAGCGAGAGTTCAGTGCCCGAGGCCCGGCGCGGAGCCAGTAGCGGCAGTGACAAACCGGCTCAAACCCTGGAGCCCGCCCGTCCACTCCTCGGTCCGCCGCCGCCGCGGCCAGGACCTCGTAGCAGCCGCGGCCGAAAGCTTACCGCAAGGCCGGACCGAGCCCGGCTATGCCGAGGCGGGTCCTCCAACACAGAGACCGGATGGGGCTGTGGCGGCCACCACCACTAGGACGTGCCCCTCAATTAAACCGCCAACGGGAAGCTGCAGTTTCCCCACAACTTCCCATATCCGGACACGTGACAATTTCCGCGCCGGAAGTTGATTCCGTAGAAAAGGAAGGAGAGGCGGTGCGAAAAAGGGAGAGGCCAATAGATGTGGAGGGGGCGGGGCGCCAGCCGACGGGCGCGGCTAGGCGGGAGATGGCTCTCGCTGGAGGGGCGTGTCTTGTAAAGGCAGGGGCGGGACGTCAAATGAGCGAGGCCTAAGTGAGACTGGGGATTTGATATTATGGGATATTTCCCTTCTTTATAAATGTTTATTCTGATATTTGCGGCAACTTAAGAGAGCTGATTAAATCTTTTTTTGTTTTGTTTTGTTGTTAGCATATGTAAAGCACTTTTAATTCTAACTCTTACTGCAGTGTGCTCTGCTGTCCAGGTGCTTGAGCATCATCTGAAGGCTCTTTAGAAAATGCAGCCTCGGGCTCACTTCACATCTACCGAATCAGAACCATCTATATCTTAACAAGATGATGCTTTTGTATATTTAAGTTTGAGAGGAAAATATAATGACAGTGCTACTGGTAATGAGGCAGGTGGTTCATTTATTCTACATTCCTGTCACTTTATTTATGACACTTACGCCAGGTACTTTTACTTCCCGTTAGAGAGGTGATTCGTGCCTGAATCCCACTCTGAAGGAGTTCACAGTGTATTAGTGCTTAACAAGGGGAATGCAAAAGAGGGAGTAACTCACTCTATCAGTGATGGATTCACTGAGAAAGTGACAGATGAGCTGTGCAAAATATCTTTCACTGATAATCTCAAGAGAGAATTTGGTGGGAAAATTAGCAGACATAGTAGGGAACTGTTTGTTACTGAGATTAATATGCTGTAGTCAAGGCTGCTTAAAATGCCTTTCATTTTCGTCGAATGACTTCCCTTTTAAGAGCAGGGTCTAGACCTATCTTTACAAATACCTGTTATGTCTTTCCTACTCAGTCCCGGAATGCATACTTTGCATACTTTATATGACAATTGTATGCTACTTTCTTCCTTAAAATTGGGAAATGAATTGTATTTCAGAAATCTAAACTTCCCTGAACTCCAGAATTGTCTACCCACACCCCTATCCTGGCTTTTCCATTCAGATGACTCAGAGGCATCTCAACTCAATAACTTAATTCTCATTTCTCCCCTCCCCTCCTTGAGTCTCCCTGAAGTGAGGCTTCTGAGGATTTGACTCCAAAGAGCAAAAATGAGGGAAGGGAGAGGGAAATGAAACATAGAAGAGGGAGAGGCAGTCTGAGGCAGAGTTATTGAGTTGATGATCATCATTATGTTTGACTGTTTTCCCAATCCCTTAGGACCTTCTAAGAAGCTTGATGAAATGAGTCCCAGAACTGTCCACTGAAGGAAACAATGGAGGAAACATTTATCTATCAACTCCCGTCCCTCTTCGATCAAAGGTTAATACTCCTGAGAATTAACTCTTCTACACTTCAAAATTATGCAGTTATGAATGCCACTCTCATATCAAGGATGTGCTGAGGCAGAAAGTGAGAGGAGAGGTGCTGTCATGTTGCACTTGCTCAAAGCTCATCAAACTCTGTTCAGAACAGGTTGCTGTAATGGTGGTTGAAATAAGAGTCTGAAGGGATTTGAGAAAGTGCACATAAAGAGTCCTTTACACCACTTTGGTTGAATCCAGTCCTTCACACGGGTCTCTCCAAGGTGATGGCCAGCCACAATCTCTGTAAGGAATTAATGTAAAAGAGTTATGGAATAAGCTTTGTTCTTAGTGATGCACTAATATTAAGACCATACTTGTATTCATTAACTTCCTTCTCTACTATTCATTCTAATTTTCCCCACCCTTGGGTAACATATCAACTGATCTAGATTGTTTCTATGGAGTGATAACCATTTTATTTATTTTCCTTCTTTAATTGGTCCATGATTGCAATAATTGCCTGTTCAACCTATCCTTGGGTACAGAACCACCAAGATAAGCTCCAGTGAATTCCTTTAACTACAGATATATTCATCCCTACTGCTACTGTGTAGCAACAACCCCAGATACTTTGCTAATCTCAGTTGATTGCTCCCACCAGTATTGTAACTGCTTTCTATGGAGGCTGGTCCACTGTTACGGCAAACCCAAAGAGACAAAATGATAGTGAGAGCTTCAAGTTCTGAGAATTCCATACTGTGTATCCTATTGGAAGCATTCTTCACTCAACCCCGGAGAAACAATTATTGCAGTTATTATAGCAAGGTCTAAATTTGAGAGGTACAAGATACAAATTCTGCAAGTAGGTCACTGGGATTGATATGATGGATCAGTCCTGCTCCTATTCTTGGTTTTCTGGAGCTAAGTCTTGAGCTGCTGGGAATGCTCCATTGGTTCCTTCAGTGGATTTACTAAAACTGTAGGACAACATTCCAATTTCAAGAGGGCACATTAATGAAGACTATTACAAACCATTCCACCATTTTACAAGGCTAACTATGTTTAAATGGTGAAGAATATGACAATATCAGTGAATATCAGTGATCATGCACATATTGTCACTTTTTGGGGAGTGTGATTGGTTGAAGTAATGTTGATTCAGAATGCTATAATTCTGGTGATTGTAGATGTAGGCAAGAAAGGCAAATCTAGGAGTGTGTAAATATTTTTACTTTGGGTTATTTCTCCCTTTTTATAAAGTGAATGATAAAGTGTGTTGCTCCAAGCTTTGCCACCTGGAAAGTTTCCTCTCCAGGGTATTGTTCCTTAGAGTGATCCCTGAGTGGGGCTAAAGTACAGTCCTTTCTCAGTATCCATTAAGATTGTTATAGCATCTTAATCTCATTTAGTACAGGCTGTCATCATATCCAGTCCTTATGGAGACGAAGGCTGTGTATTAGGACTTGCCAAAGTATTAAACTACAGGTTATCCCCTATGTAAAATTTCCCCTGTCTAGCTTTGTAATGTTGTTCCTCTGGTCTAACACTCTAAATACTTATTCTTACATTCTCCTCATTCCTATTAGTAAATGTTAACCCATTTTGTAATTTCTTTTGAGTTAGTCTACTTCAATGATTTTCAACAGGGGACATTTATGTCTAGACATATTTTTTGTTATAATTACTGTGAGAGTTCTACTAGCACTTAGTAGGTAGATGGCAAGATGCTTTTAAACAATCTATAATACATAGGTGGCCTTCCACAAGAAAGAATTATCCAATCCGAAATGCCACTATTGTCAAAGATGAGAAAGCTTGATCTTGTTCTCTCCAGGATTGCAAATCCTCACATAGGCTGTACTGAGATCCAACCTTGGACTTGAGGCAATAAGGGTGGGGCTACAGATAGAGGATGAAGAAAATAAAGTCATATTTTGAGGTATTTTCCTTAGGCATGTTCTTTGTAGCATTTCCAGACAAGTGGAGGCTGCTTTCCATTATCAAGAGGAAAGAGACTATTGGAAGAAAAGAGGAAGAAAAAAAAGAGGGGGGTTTAAGATTATAAAGCCCACACAAATGTTTCCATTTCAAATCTCAAATTTCCAATATTTTCTTTGTAGCATTCTGGTGATATGCCAAGGCTCTGAATTTGAATTCCTTTGTGGCTCTGCCACCTTTATGATTAGATACTGGGGCTGATTTTTAGCACAGTCTGCTCAGTAGCTACACAGGGGAACCTATGGCTTTCATAGGGTGCCTTGGTTTGATAGTTGGATGAATTGAGCCTGTCATTTCCTTTTATAAAGCTTTCCAAACCAGTTAACAAATGCCAGTCTACTGTATAATTGCTACCATAATGCCCAAGTACCATACCCACCATATAATCCATGGCTTTATTTTCTGTTTGTACCCCTTTCCAATATACTACAGTTGAGAGTCTTAGTAATTGTGACACTACTGCATGCTATGAGTTATCATTACTTGCAATTTACCACTCACAGCTAGTCCAAGGACTCTTTGCAGATACATAGTAATTTGCAATAAATTTTTTAAAAAAATATCACTATAATCCTCTGCAAAAATTAGACTTGAGAAACAACATAAAATAGTGTGAAGTACATGGTTACTGGAATCACACAGACTGAGTTCAAATCTCATCTTTACCCTATACTAATTCAGTGATCACAGTACAAATAATTTAATCCTTCTGAGCCTCGGTTTTCTCATCTGTAAATTAACAATAATAGTCCTCACCTTTTAGGACTATAATGCATATTTGCTAAGATATTTGTTGTAATACATGTGGCACATTGCTTGGTATATAGTAAACACTCAATAAATGGTAGCTATTAGTACATGCAGGTTGGTTTAGAAGATTAAATTGAGTAGCTTAATGTTCTTGAAAACGTGTCATAGTCATTCAGTTCTCTGCCCAAGGAATCTCTGAAGTTCTGCTTCCTTTTCACAGAAAGAAGTTTTCCTATATTAAGATACACCATGTTATGAAGTAATCTCTTATATTTGGATAGTGTGAATTTTTCTGTTGTTAACAAGTTCCAAAGGAAGTTGCTTCTAAGTGGTAAAGATAGTGAATATTGATTTACTGAAGTTAATTGTTTCCTTGGAGAAACTGCTCTTGTTACTGTGCACCAAAGGAGCAGAGGTAGGGAGCTTACAGAGACTTAATGTACTTAGAAGGGTAAGCAAATTGCACTCATTTTGCACCTTTTGGAGAGGTAAGAAGTTCTTACCTCTTGAAAGCCTGATCAAAAAAGGATGGAGTGTCTTACTTCCTCCAGGGCTCTGCCTGATGAAAGTACCCACAGGTGGTAACACAGATGGTTCTGAGGTGGTTGTTTGGTGGGAAACATCACAGATTTCTCAGAAGTTCACATAGCCCACTTTTACTGAGTCTGAACGGTTCCTTAATTTAAGTTCAGTTGATTTTTAAGGTGAGACAAGGGAGTTTTCAAATGTTTCAAGTCATGTGGGTTTATATAATTTCATTTTTTCTTATTTTGTCTGTTACTATGATTTTTTTATATTTTCTATTTCTTGATATATTTTCCTATAATTCAAACATGCATGTTCCTAGCCTAAAAAGAAA